AATAAAATAAAATATTAAAAACACGATGTATCTCGCTGCATTGCGCGAGTATGCTTCTAGTATATATTAAATAAATATGACATGTTGACTTGCTGTAATAAGTCATATTTTGAAAAATGACATGGTAAGCGGTTCCTACTTCCTAGAGCTTGAGGTGTGATCTTCACACACACATAAAAAAAAAAGAAAAAAAAAGAATCAAGTCGCCATCTCCACCTACAACAATTATGATGCTTTCGGTTTCATGGCCTACACTCACTTGTGCGATAAGCATTAAACCCAATTATTCTCAACCACATGTTAATGCAACTACAACAACTATAAACACGATCGATCTTGAATTCCAACAAATATCCATTGTGACGTAATAAATAGCCGTTTTAACTTTCTAGCATTCGATTCATCAGCACACCACAGTAACGGAAAACACAGTCACCATATAACTAAGTATACATCGTTATTCTTACGTGTAGAAGACAAGTATACGTCATACGAGTTCTAATGAACCAAACTCTTATCCGGTTATCCTACTACCTGCTAGTACTGTAGAAGACATGTTGTACTAATCTTCACCCAAGAGTCGGTTTATCTGTATACAAACAGGTCAAGACTAGAAAGAAGTGACGGAGGAAGATGGGAATCTTAAAAGATGAAATAGACAGGAGACGAATGAGAAAAGTGTAATACAACTGCGTAAAAAGGTAAAGAGCGGGAAAAACAAAAAAGAAAATGAGATGAACGGGAATAAAAATGAAACCAAACCCCTGTGTTGACGTGCTTGGGGTGATTCCAAATGATCATATACATACAAGGCGTAAATGGTGATGCATTCGAAGTCATTGATTCAAACTCCTGTCCCTTTTTGCATTCTCTAAATTAAAAAGGACAAATGAAAGAATCGCTAGAAGGCAACGTATACCAAGTTATGTTGATTTTATTGTTTTATTATTTAAAGCATTTCTCTCTGTTAAGAAAAAAAAACATCTGGTAGGTTTGGAATTTGCAGAAAATGCCATTTTTGGCTTGTGATTTCACATCTTAGCCATTTCTTTTTTAAAATCATTAGATTGTCATTCTCTCCCCAGTTGGTAGGTCTGGAATATGCGGAAAAGTCAAAGTGTAAAAAAAAAGAAGTTTCTGAACCAGATCCGCAATTATAGGGACCAATTATGTAAATTAGGAATAGGTTGAATTTGTAGACGTGTTTGTCCAAATTTACATATCTGATTCTTGCAACTGCTGATCTTTTTTTTAACACTTTGATCTATACGTAAACTGCGAAGAGAGTGGCATTTTGGTAATTTTAGAAGAGAAATGGATAAGATATGAAAACAACATCTGAAAACGGTTATTTCAGTTAAAACATTTTGGTAGTTTTGGATTTTCATTTTACACTTTAACCTCTACATGGCTTCACTTAACGGACTGAAATAGACCGCCATCAGAGATAGGGACTAGATCCAACAGAAATTGCATACCACAAACACCAAAACCATAATAAATGAAGTTTAGAGACGAAATATGTAAAAATCAACAAACCACAAGGACCGAATCCGTAATTTACTCTAAAAATAACAATATACATGAAGGACTCAGTTGTAAAGATACCAAAAATATAAAATTTCTAATTTTAGTAAAAAAAAGAAAACTTTTGGTACATAAAGATAATAGAAAGAGTCTTCTATGTCAATTGACACAGACTTTATTTATGGACAAGAGTCTATGCACGTCAACTTATGATGTAAATTAAAAATAAATAATATTCACAAAAATTAAAAATATACTACTGTTTTATATATTTAATATAAGTACTGAAGTCTGATTTTCCTTCTGATTTATTAAAAGAGTGCTCGCATGATATAGCGAAATATATTTTAAATTTAATGTTTTGTTTTATTATTTATCTCCGTCGATATAATACAGTTTTTAGTGATTTTGAGAAAACGATATTGTTTTTATTTTTGAATAAAATATAAATTTAAAGATATCATAAAAATTTGACAAAAATATATCGATATTAATATCAAGTTAACTATTTAAAATTTCTATTTTTTTGTGTAATTTTTTAATTCAATTTTTTATTGTAATTTAATTTAGGTTCAATAATGAAGTAATTTATATTTGGTTTAATAATATAATTTTCTTATAAAGATAATAATTAATTATTTTGTTAGAACTCGATAATTATCTTAATTATATTTTAGATTTTTTATATTTTAAAATAAGATGTTTATACTCTATTTAATTATGTTTATCCGCAGTTAGTTACACGAATTCAAACATGGAGCTTTAATAAGTTGTACTTATGCATAATTTACTTGTAATCTTGAATTTTAAGTAATATGCATCAATATACAATACTTCATGCATAAAAAATGATTTTTAAGAGGTTTTGTCAAATGATTTAGAATATAGTATAGATAAAGGGTGATCCTGAAGTCTGAAATCTAGATCAGTAAGATTGTTTGTTTTTACGTCTGAAATCTGAATCAGTCAAACTAGTATAAAAATATAAAAGATAAATAGTTTTTTACAAAAGTATAAAGTATAAAAGATAAATAGTTTTTGCTAACAAATCTCTTTCAATCCCCAAAATATGAACCATTTAATGGAGGACATATTAAGATTAAGAGGTATTAAGAGATATGTTTAGGGCTTGTTTATTTAAAAAAAAAGCTCTTAATACCTCTTAAGTCTGAATCAGTCATACCTTTTTATTTTTCAGACCGTTTGATTTTTTTTGAAAATAAGAGCTTAACTCTGAATTTTTAAGTGGTAGTCTAAACTCTTAATGGACTCTTATTCACACACCATATCGATCTCTCGTTCTCTCGCTTGATTTCCAGCTATCAAATCATACCGATCTATCCCACATCATACGATCTTGACACCATATCGATCTCTCACTCGGTCTCAAGCTACCGATCTATCCAAAACGATCTCTACAAATCGATCTCTCCTATATATGAGTTATTTTTTTAGTATGATCAAACCAATGAGCAAGGGATGATGGCGACACAATTAATACAATATGAATATTGGTTCTAGTCGTTATGAGACTTTTTTCGTGTTTATATTGATTCAGATTTCAGACTTCAGACGTAAAAACAAACAATCTGACTGATTCAGATTTTAGACTTCAGCACCACCTCTTATAAATCAAAAGTGAAATCAGACTTCAGACTTCAACACCTCTTAAAAAACAAACACCACATAATAGTGTTTACCACTTATTCAGAGGACATTTAAAGTTTTTAAGCTCTTATTTTAAAAATAAAACAAACATTTTTAATATCCAAACGTTTGAACGAATCAGACTTTAGAAATATTAAGATGTAATTTTGAAAAAACAAACAGACACTTGAAATAAGAATTGATGATGTTTCATGCTAAAACTCTAAAAGGGGCTCAAGTTGTAAGAAACCTAAAAATGGAGGGGTGTTGTTTGCAATTAACCAAATGGAGTAGAAAATAATTGTCGATATGCTTCGCTGTTTACAGGGCCTACTACAGCCTCGAAACCGCCATATCCGCCAGCTCTCTCTGCAACCACCACGGATCATTTCAATCAAACCCTTCATAAATATTCGCCCAAATCTTTGACGCACCAGATCGTTGCACGCACGTAGACATATACTCTGTGTGTGTGTGTTTTTTTTCGCTTCTGCTGTCGTTGGATCAATTGAAAACGAACGGTTTGTGTTGGTGATTTGTGGTCTTGAATTTGAATAATGGCGGAGGATGCTTCGGATAGGATTGTTTACTTACATGGAGACCTACAACTTAACATTATCGAAGCTCGCAAATTGCCGAACATGGATGTATTCACCGGCCACATCCGCCGTTGCGTTACTTTTGAGGCTTGCCGGAATGACAACTCCTACGCCGCAACGGCTGACACGAAGTTGCGGTCTGCTCGTCGCAAGATTATTACTAGTGATCCTTACGTCAAGGTTTCGGTGCCGCAGGCAACTGTGGCGCGTACGCGCGTGTTGAAGAACTCCAAAAACCCTAAATGGGACGAGCGTTTTATCATTCCTTTAGCTCACGCGCTTGCAAACTTGGAGTTCCAGGTGAAAGACGATGATGTGTTCGGTGCTGACCTGTTGGGGAGTGTCAAGATTTCGGCGGAGAAGATAGCAACCGGCGAGCTCATTTCCGGTTGGTTCACGATGGAGAATTCACGTAAGAAGGAATCGGAACTTAGGCTGGAGATGAAGTTCATTCCGTGTGAGAAAAATCCTCTATACCGGCACGGCATTGCCGGTGATCCGGAGCATAAAGGCGTCCGGAACACCTATTTTCCTTTGAGGAAAGGTTCTCACGTGACGTTATATCAGGATGCTCACGTGACACCGGAATGTAAGATGCCTCGGATTGAATTAGATGGGGATAAAGTTTTTCAGCAAAATTCGTGTTGGGAAGATATATGTTATGCTATAACAGAGGCTCATCACATGATATATATTGTTGGTTGGTCTGTTTTCCATAAGATTAAACTGATTAGAGAGCCGACTCGGCCCCTTCCCAGAGGAGGAGACTTGACGCTTGGTGATTTGCTCAAGTATAAATCTGAAGAAGGGGTTCGTGTTTTGTTGTTGGTTTGGGATGATAAGACCTCCCACAACAAGTTGTTCATAAAGACGGTGAGAACTTTGAACAAAGGGTATACTTTTACTCGTTAATTGCTCAAAAAGTATAAGTTTTTTACATTTGTTGAAAGAACGGTGGGTTTAAAGGGTTCTGATAAAAACCAAAGAAAAATACTCCACACGTGAAGTTGCTTCCTAATTGGATGAATTAACTCTAAGCTCTTCATTACTTGGTTAAAAGTTCTATTTTGCAAATTGTTCTCTTTGAGACATTTCTTTTGCTAATAAGTAATACGCTATAAAGAAGATGAAAATTAGAAATTGTTTCCTCAATTATATCATGTTTCTAGGTGATGACATTTATCAATATTTGACAGACTGGAGTGATGGCAACTCATGATGAAGAGACGAGGAAGTTCTTTAAGCATTCTTCTGTCATGTGTGTGCTATCGCCTCGTTATGCAAGCAGCAAGCTTAGCTTTTTTAAGCAACAGGCAAGTGCTTCTTTTTCCTCCTGCAATTTTCATACATAATAATGTGGTTGATATAATTTTGGTGGTTTCCTTTTGGATTATCATTTCATTGCCACGAATCATAACACACCATGAAGAGTAACCAGTGTGTCCTTTGATGTATTTTGGTATTTTCGGTCTCCTTAGCATGTATGTTTTGCTTTCAAGGTTTAAACATGTGTGTTAACATTGCTTTTGTTGTGGTTGTAGTGGCTAATTTATGTTCTAACATTTATCAGGCATATCCTGGCCCGCATAAAAATAATTTTTGACATACCGGTAAAGAAGATATCACCTATTACACCCAATATATTAACTCTTTGATGGTGGCTTGTTACTTCAAGATGCCATACTCCACTCTTGTGGGTCCTTCAAAGGAATCCTAGGCAAAGCCTGACGTTTCACGACCTGTATGATCTGTGATTCACCTCAATATCTTTTAATTTTTTTTCTCATCTTCATTCTAGGTACTAGTTGTTGCTTTCCAGGCCAGTTGCTGGCAGTCCTCACTACCTGCTAGTTTCTGTTCCCTCTGTCCTTTTCTTTGGTATTTTACTCGAGTGTCGGAGTGTGTGACTAAGATCCCCTGGATATTTTTTTTTCTTAATTATATTTATATTCATCATTTAGAAGGGAGTCAATCAGGCTTGACCATTTGGATGTGCACCGGGGTTCCCAGCCAAAAGTGATGACCTTTGCTAACCACCTGTTCCCATCTTTGTAGTTCTCCTATATCCATACGCCTACCTCCTAATCTTGCTGGTATGAACAGTCTCTTTTTTGGGAACTAACTGGATGATTAGCAAGAACTTCACAAAGCAACCTGGGAAAAAAGTTTAAGCCCATAATTGAACCTAGTCTATGGTATCTACAGAACTACCAATAGTCTGTGTGGTGCCTTCTTGAAATGTTATTGTTTAGATGATCCATTTGATTATTTTGGAGATCTTTAGTTGCCATAGAGTGTACCTGCTCCATCTACTCAACTTGGCCTTAATCCCAGTGCTTTTTCAATCTACGTCCTTTGATGAGTTGATCCTTATTAACTGGGGAGTTGCTGGTACTTCCACATAAGCTTCTATACATGATGGACAATCTTACTGCTTCGTTCTGTTGGTCTGGAATAAGAAACAGTGGCACCTATAGGCCCATAATCAAATTTTGATAACAATAATGGTCAGTATATTTCTTTACACTTTTGTATATGGGGTTGAATGAACTTTGAAAACTTCATGTTCTGGTCCAAATATGCGAACGGTAATTGTTTTCTGTTACTTTGGTATTAGTGAAGGATTGTGTGAACCTTTCAACTTTGTGATACATTGAAGTTGGCTTATATTGTTGATCCATGTTTCAGGTTGTCGGAACTGCGTTCACGCACCATCAGAAATGTGTGCTTGTAGATACGCAGGCATCCGGTAATAATAGAAAGGTTACTGCATTTATAGGTGGTCTTGATCTCTGTGATGGTCGTTATGACACACCTCAGCATAGGTTATTTCATGGTCTAGACACTGTTTTTAAGGACGATGTTCACCAGCCGACATACCCAGTGAGTGATCTTTTTAATATTTATCCCATTTGTGCACTTTTTATTCTGTTCTTTTTGTTATATACATGTATGTATATATATTCGTGCCAAAACATGTGATAATCTTTCTGTATGGGGCCACTCTAAATATTTTTCGTTCTGTATTGGTACTGCTGAAACCAGTAGCATTGCCGACTCAAGAAATGTGATCCTTCTATTGTGATCATCTTGATTGTGTCATCTTTTAAGAATATATTTTTAGTTTTTGTACCCAATCTCTTTGGTTGGAAGGCTGGAATTCTGTTGATAGGAAGTTGTGGCATCATACTTTTTTAGGGAGGTGATGTGTAGTTAAGCATAAAGTGGAAGGCTGGAATTCTGTTGATAGAAAGTTCTATCAAGCAAGCTTTATAAGTACTCCACATCTCTTCGTACAAGTATTATGTAAAAAGAGGACTCTTGCTTGGGGATGGTGGTGGGAGCATGTATTCATGCATCTCTTTAGAAGTTCAGCTTATGATCGTCAATTTACATAGTTTTGCTATATCCCTCGGCATTCATGTGATCAAGTCCTATGATAATTGGTGATACTGGGGTGGCTTATTTATCATCCTCATCATCATCACCAAGACCACCATCACCACCACTATTATACAACATTTATTTCATGATAGGTAATTAGTGTTTTATGCAATGTTGGCTCTTTATATTTAGGCCCCTGTTTAAACATTGCCAGGAAACAGAAGAGACTCACAAAATGTGCTTTAAGAGCATTACATGTTAAAAGTTGATTTTTGAACATTCATCTGCGTACAATGCATACCCCTCCATGGGGATGCGAGTGATGTGAACCAAGTCGACTTGGCAATGTTCAAAGTTCAAGCTTACTCAACTTGTCTAATGATCTAGTCTAAATGTTTGTTCATTACTTGAATAATTAACAACCTTAATAGAAAGATAAAGGAAACAAACTAATAAAGTATATAATACCTTTAGCTGCATGGTTCCCACACAATACTTTTTGTCACTTGCAGGGGCGGACTATTAAGAGTTGAGCGGGTCCGTGCACCCGCTCACTCAATTATCGCAAGAGGAAAAAATTGAGACATTAAAGTGGTGCACCACTGCACCCGCTTAATCATAAGTGTGCCCTTAAATATTTAGAAACCAAAACTATATTAACAAATTGAAGCTGGCGTAATGGTTGTTATAATTTGGTAAAATTGCGCTTCTCTTCCAACAAGTCACGAGTTCTAGTCTTACTTGTAGCAGTTGCTTATTTTTTATCTGTTAAAGGTTTTTGTTATAAATCTTGTAAAAGTAGAAGGATGTTCTGAAATATTTTGAAACTAAAGGGACTAAACCGAAATTTTTAATAAAACTTATCTAAACAATGGGTTTTTGTTCCCACTTTTGTTCTTCAATCACCACCTATGAAGAATTGTCCATTCTCTCATTTGGTTCGTATTTTCCAACCATATTATCTGCTACCATTTATTTATTTGTCCTAAATTGCTTTAATTTCATTATTGATTTGCCTTATTTACCCTAAATTCTAGGTTTGCTCTAAATTGATTTTATTTCATTATATATTTGTTATAAATCTATGTCGTCATTTTTTCATTTGCTGAAACCCTAGTTTTATTTTAATTTGGTTAGTTAATTTTAAATTGTAGAATATCATATTTATTATATAATACTATAAATCTTAGATGCATAAGAAAACAAAATTGGGAACCTAGAAAAAGAAAGACAAAGGACAATCAAAATCAAATCCAAAAAGTTAGAAAATCTAAGGAAAACAACAAAAAAACCAAAAAAGTTCCTCGTAATGATGGAATTCGGCTAAAACACGTCGAATGCTAATGATGGGAAATTGTAGAAAATTTGTAATTTTTAAGTTCCTTTTATGCTAATGCAATTTGATTTTACAACACTAAAACTATTCAATTATCGTAAGTGCAGCCAATCCACTTCTTTTAAGGCGATATACCAATAATTTATGCAAAATAAGTTTAGCCAATATTTTCGTAGATATCCAAATATAATATCAACATATATTTGATTTGAATATTGCTCTAGTTTATTTTTGGAGCCGTACTGTTTATGCTTAAAACTATTCATATGAGTGGAAGAGCTCCACAAGCAAATCACATATTGGACTTGGAGAATTAGAATAAGAGTTGGTTCAAAGGCTGATGCAAGATGGCAGGATCTTTTTTTCGGTTCGAGGTTCATAAGGAAGAAGTATGTTTGTTGAGCCAAGTTGTGGTTGATATCTGATGTTTCATATGCTTTTCGATGATAGATGTTTCATATTTCTATACACGTAATATTTTTGTAGTCCTTGTGGTTACAGAAAAATAATGCTAGATAGCAGTCTTTCTCTTCACTCTCTCTCTCTGTTGTCATCTATAGTTATTATAACCTTATTATTGTTCTTTCCCCATGATTTATGTCTTAAAAATAGCAATCTGGATCAATAAGCATAAACTTCTTATTCAGCTCGTGTTCCCACATCGTAGGTTTAAAAATTTGAATTGAGCGGTTACTTCTATGCGAAAACTTGTTCCATTTCTGTAGGGAGTAGGGAATTCTTCGTCTTCTTTCTGTCTTGTCACCTGCCTTCTTCTTGTGATGCTCTTTGTGCGCAATTAACTGTGGTAATCAGGTAGCTAAGGTCCTGCTAATTATTCAGATGTTAATTGAGTACTACTGAAGGTAATGAAATATTCCTACCTGTGAATGTGATCTCTTCATTTACTATTTTCATCTTTTTATTCATCTGTACTAGGCAGGAACCAAGGCCCCAAGGCAGCCATGGCATGATTTGCACTGCAGGATTGATGGTCCTGCTGCGTATGATGTTCTTCTGAATTTTGAGCAGCGTTGGAGAAAAGCTACTAAGTGGAGAGAATTTGCAATCCTTGCCAAAACAATGGCACACTGGCAAGATGATGCGTTGATAAAGATTGAGCGGATCTCATGGATTGTCAGTCCTACTTATCCTGTTCCAAAAAATGGAGATTATACTGTGGTTCCTGACGACGAACCATTATTGCATGTTTCCAGGGAAGATCATCCAGATAACTGGCATGTGCAGGTCAGAAAAGGCTCTTTCCTACGATTTACGAACTCCTTTTTCGTATGCGACTTTAATAAGTAGATCTCACAAGTTTCTCTTACTTCCCACAGATTTTTCGGTCCATTGATTCTGGATCATTGAAAGGATTCCCCAAAACAAGTGACGTTGCTGAGGCACAGGTGAATAATTGAAATCTTTTTCATCTACTCATCCTTGCTAAAGATCTTTCATGCTCAACAATTTTGTTTTCTTACCGGTAGATATAGCAAAATACATGTCCAATACACCAAAAGCATGCATTAAGTTCTGTAATTCATTTAGCAACAATAGAAGTCGTGATTATATGTATGGTTCTTTTTTTGAGTTGGCTAATAAATACACCCCCCTGTCTCTGAAGAGAGTCAAGCTCACAATTTAAAGGCTGTAAAGTGTTCCTTGGTACCATCAGGAGCCTCTTGCTAATTAAATATAGTTGGTTATGGTACTTGAATTTGATCAATGCATATGTCTTATTGATACGTTACTTGCTGCAGAATCTTATTAGTGCAAAGAGTCAGGTGATTGACAAAAGCATTCAGACAGCATATATCCAAGCCATCCGATCAGCTCAACATTTCGTTTATATTGAAAATCAGTATTTCATTGGATCATCATATGCATGGCCATCATACAAAGACGCAGGTAGTACTTGCATTTTCTTTCATAACGTATGAGATCACTGTATGTTAGTCATTACAACATAAAGGCAGCCCCATTTGTAAGAAACATCAGATAAAATTCTATCTTTTTTCTTGATTATTTTTTCATATTGATGATTGGTTTTGGCTAATCAAATGACTGTTCGAAAACATGTTTATGGAATTTTATGCAATCACTAAAATGTTTCTATAAAATTGGTCAAAACATTATCGTTTTAGATGGTCGGTGATATGATAAATTCCAATTCTTATGGATCATATATTAATATATGTTTTGGTAATTTCCACATCAAAAGGATAAAATTTTGTTGATTCTAATTTTGGGTAAGAGGCTTGTCTATTTTAGGAAGGCGGGATTATGTGCTTCTTATGTGTAATTGTGTATGTCAGTCGAACCTATTTTTCCCCCTTCACCAGTGAAGGAGTTGATGCTTCTCATATGAATTTCATCCATAGTTTTCTAGTTGATTTCTTCTTCCTTTCTTATTAATCAAGTCGATGACTTACAATATGGGTGAATGAGGATTAATTTCGGCAGACAGAACAAACTTCTAAATGTTAAATCATGTTCTTCACTGTGCTCAATTGCAATTTAATATATGCTTGGTTATGATGCTTGTGAAGCTCTTTTTTCTATCAATCTCAATGCACAACAACTAGCTAGGAAATCATATTTATTTGGTAACATGTTTATGAGACTGGTGTTTTCTTTCCAATTATTAGGAGCTGATAATCTGATCCCAATGGAGTTGGCACTAAAAATTGCTAGTAAGATTAGAGCCGGAGAGAGGTTTGCAGTTTACGTTGTCATACCAATGTGGCCTGAGGGTGTTCCAACAACTGCTACTGTGCAAGAGATTCTCTATTGGCAGGTATTCTTACTTTTTACCCTCTGAAAGTCCATATAGACTTGTATCATTTGGAAGTTTTCTACTGACAATTAGAATCGAGTAATTAAAGCTTACTTTGATGTCATGATTGATACTCATAATGAAGTGTTCATATAACAAAGTAATTCTCTTGTTATTTTATGGTTAACAATTAAATTTCTTTGTCCTCGATTGTCCAAGGTTAGATTGTGGTTTTTCTGTTTTTGTTACCATCTTTCTTTTGTCTTCTCATTTATTGTAGTTATGGTACCTCTTTGTAACCAGTGTCACAGTTTCTTAATGTGGCAATGATAGAAGCTGCAAGGCAAAATTACTAAAAAATGTAGATGGTAGCGGGGTATAGAAAGAGTTCTTGTGAGATCTCTAGTTGGAGGCCAAGGGAAGTTGACTTAAATTTAAACAAAGCAGAGATCGTTTTAATTTCTGATTTTCTTTTCTTAGCGTATTTTCACATGATGATATCACTTCTGGGTTTTGCTGTATTGGTCCTCCTACTTCATGGTCTCCATTATTGCAACGTTGTGATCAATGCAAACACCATTTGTTCTTTTGGCACACATTCCGTTTGGCTCTTATTTTTATCCTCAGCTACTTTTGTGATGAAATTTCTTTGAATCTTAGATGGTATCATGATACATTGAAGTGCTTGTTTTGCATTTGACTTTGACATCTTCTAACACACAGAGCCAGACGATGCAAACAATGTATGCTGTTGTAGCACAAGAAATTAAGGCTATGCAGCTGGATGCTCACCCTCAAGACTATTTGAACTTCTATTGCCTTGGCAAACGGGAAGAACTACCGGCAGAAATGGTTCAATCGGGAGATGAGAAGGTATTGTGAGAGAATCTCTATTCCTGCTCAATTCGCAGATGGTTCAAGACTATTTAAATTTCTATTCTTGCTCCACTTTACATAAAGAATCCACATGTGGTCGTGTACAATCTTGTGAGAAATTGGTGTTGTATATGTTATAGGTCTCAGATTCACAAAAGTTCCAGCGGTTTATGATATATGTGCATGCTAAAGGAATGATAGTGGATGATGAGTATGTAATAATGGGATCTGCTAACATTAATCAAAGATCTTTGGCTGGCTCAAAAGACACGGAAATAGCCATGGGTTCATATCAACCCCATCACACTTGGGCAGCAAAGAAGCGACATCCACATGGACAGGTACACCAATGCATTTGTTTTGCATCTGAAAGTGTTACGTAAGTTTATATAGGACTTTTGGGTGTCTTAACAAGTTTTTTCATAACTCAAATATCTTGCTAACCGGTAAGAGGCAACAAGTGTTTAGTAAACAGCCCGTTTGTTTCAAACTGAACAATTAGGAGTTAGGACCCTTGATAGTTTGTGCCCTAGTTATGTTAAAGACTTTTAATGAAGTTGATAAGAAGAATTCGTATAATCTGCATGATTCATGTTTGTGACGATCCTTTAGGTTTCTTGCTAATAATAATATATTCTTTCAACTAATTAACCATTACGGTTGCTCAAGTTGCTTGAAATACATATTTTCTTCATCTCTCAAGTAGGGAAATGATGCGGTCTTCAATTGCTGTACTAAACTTTCTAGTTGTTTCAGTTTGAATTGTGTGTTTTCTAGTAAGATAGAATTACTACACGTTTGAAGTCCATAGACTATTAAAAGACGGGTTCTAAACTCCACATATTTTTAAGTTTTTCATCATCTACATTGAAGCAACGGGGGTTAAAATTGTTTATTTTAGGTGTATGGGTACAGAATGTCACTGTGGGCGGAGCAGCTTGGTATCCTAGAGAAATGCTACGAGGAGGCAGAGTCGCTAGAGTGTGTGAGGAGGGTTAATAAACTGGCTGAAGATAACTGGAAAAGATACACGGCTGACGAGTTTTCAGAATTGCAAGGTCATATTATGAGGTATCCTTTACAGGTCGACGCTGATGGGAACGTGGATTCGTTGCCTGGGTACGAGACTTTTCCAGATCTCGGAGGTAAAATAATCGGAGCTCACTCAACAACACTGCCGGATATATTAACTACCTGATCTGATCTTCTTCGAACGTATTCTTTTTTGTTCATATGGGTGTAAAAAGCTATGTATTGCTCAGTCGTATGCATCGAGCAAAACATAGGCAGTGAATAGAATAGATGTGCCATTTTGTTGTATATTAAGCGACTATTGTGCGAATTGCATGGTTACGTTTTTGTGTTCAAACTTTTCGTTTGTAATCAGTTTACTGATTTCAAAATTGTCGAATTTATGGTGTTCAATTTCCGACTCCGCTACTTTGTGTTGTATCTTTTCAAATTCTCCAAGGTCGACGTCTGGTGGTGCTACGACCGGCTTGAGGTGGGCCCGGTTACAAGAGGTCCGAGACTGGTTATTAACCGGACAGACTCGGGTACTTGGGTTCGGTGGCATCGATAACGATTTTTTGAAATTGCAGCGGTTATTAGGGCCTTTGCTGCAATATCATACATCTTTCAAAAGTCGTTATATTTGTCACAGTTATAGTTTATAATACCTATTTCTGATTAATATTCATTTGACATTATTATAACCATTTATAATGTAACAATTAAAAATATTAAATTTAATATAATACACAAATCTTCAAATTGTTTGGTTAAATGTATTAAATAATAATCTATTTTTATAAAAAAAAATTATTATGGTATTATATTTTATTTTTTCTTATTACAACAATGTACTTTTAAGTTATTTTTTTAGAGCATCGTATTTTGAAAAATTTATCCATTACAACAATGAGTAACTTGTTACCTTTTAAACTGGTTAGACCATTACTTTTTGTTGCTTACTTGGCTTAAATAAGGTGATGGGGGATGACACATCATTATGATGATATAATTAAAATAAAAGAATATTTTCTTTCAAATTATTTTTAATTTATTCATTTTCCTTGGACGATTAAGAAAAACATTTCAAGTTATTTTTTTATTTTTTTCTTAATAAATTGTATGCAAATAAAAAATTATATAGTAAAATATTTCTTAAATAAATATGATATGTTATTTTCAAGATAATTATTTTGTTTGTAAAAAAATGTAATACTTATTTTTGTTGTTTAAAAAAATATATTTTTTAACCTTTTTTTAGAATGTTAGCGAGATAAATTGTGCTCTACAAGTTTTCTTAATCTTGTTATATTAATGAATAAATAAAAAAATCTAATTAATTTGATATATTTATATGTCAAGTAATTTTTTTTAAATAAGTATGATATATTTATTAAAAGATAAATAATTTTTTTTTGGTAAAAAAGGTAACAATTTTTATTCTCTCTTTTCAAAAAATATATTTTCTTTAAAATATTAGCAAGATGAGTTATGTTTTACTAATCTTCTTAATATTGGTATATTAACGAGTAATTTATAAATTTTCGAATTTATTTAATATATTTATTAAATGATATGTGAAAGAAATTCAAAGTACAATGTATAATAAAGAAATGTCATGTAAGCAAAATTTTACACATGGACATCTCATGTGGATAATGTGACATGATATTAAAACTTGGTAACTTGTGTCATGTCATCTTAATTCAAATCAAGAGGTTACTCGTTACTATAATCTCGATTTTGAGAGTAAATTTTTAATTGTAATAGGAAATGGTGATCCTACAATAAAATTAATTTGAAAGTAAAATACTATAATAAGAAATGTCACGTCAGGGGTACGGTACGTGTGGACAACCTACGTGGAAGTGAGGTGACAAAGAAATCTGGTATAATGAGTAAATTTAAATCAAAAAGTTATTCAAATTTTCCTGCTTGTTATCCAAGGCTCTTGAGATTAATTCGAAATATGTGTAAGCTAATCCGAACACCCACAATTAAGGAAAAAAAAACCCAGTGAGGATGCTCTTACAACCCCATATGAACAAAAAAGAATAGGGTCACTAAAATAAGAAACCAATGGGCCGTTTACCAAACGTTTACCTGAGTAAGCGCTTACCAAGTAACATTACCTCACCGGATCAGTATAGTAAGGAACAAGAATCTTACCCGGTAAGAGCGAGATAAAGATCAAGAGTCTTACCCGGTAAGTGAAGGCGACGACTCTTACCACGGTAAGCGCTTACCGGGTAAATTGTTCGTTTTGGTGGACTAAAATCTTACCCGATAAGTACATAAAAATGTTAAATTTTACCGATAAGTACTTATCGAGTAAGTTGTCCCAACCCTCTTATCTGGGGCAGGCCTTTGCTTCAAATTTCTTCTGCCATCATCTTATCCACCTTTGCAAGTGTCTCAAAAATCTCCTTTCTTCTTACATGAGTTTCATCCTCTGCTCCAAATCTATGAACCACACCCTCCACCTCCACCATGCTACACCCAAATGCTTTCTTTATCCCACTCTTCACCATCGTCTTCCGCACCGCTGCCGCCTCCTTCAACCGCCCAGCACTGCCATATATCTTAGCCAGGGTCACATATCTGCCACCGCTCTCCGGATCCAAACCGAACAACTTTTCTGCAGCCACTTCCGCAAGCCCGATATTGTTGTGCATTCCGCAAGCACCAAGAAGGGCACCATATACATCCTTCCCAACCACCATAGGCATTGTTTCGATCAACTCGGCTGCTTCCATAACCAAACCCGCCCTCCCGAATAGATCAACCATACACGCATAATGTTCTTGACCTTTCTCGATGCCGTAATCATCCATTTGTTTGAAAATTTCGCGCCCTTTTGCAACAAGACCTGCGTGACTACATGTTGATAACAAGCACAAGAACATGACCCCATCTGGACGTAAACCGTCTTTCAAGAAGTTTGAGAAAAGATTGAGTGTTTTTTCTGCATTTCCATGCATTCCGCAACTCCTCATCATGGCAGTCCATACCATGATGTTTCTTTCGGGAATTTGATCGAACACGTGGCATGCGTAGTCTAAATGGCCACAGTTTCCATACATGGCGATAAGACCACTTCCCAGCATAGCGTCGTTTGCCAAGCCCGTTTTTATGGTGTAACAGTGAATCCAAAACCCAAGTCGGACATCTGCTGCTTGAGTACAAGCGGGCAGAATGGCAACGAGACTTGCATGCTCCGGTGCGCCAATTGATTCATCGTGTAGCAAAGCGTGAAAAAGCTCAAGAGCTTCAATAAAACAGCCATTGGTAGTGTAGCCAGAAATGATGGCATTCCAACTAACGAGATCCTTTTGCGGAATCTCCTCGAACACCCTTCTACACGCCTCGATCATCTTACACTTGGCGTAGAACGCTACAAGAGCATTCCCGACAAATACATTGGAATAAAAACCACATTTCACAACATGCCCATGAATAATGCAGCCCGTGTTTTCATCTTTTACGATACCAGAAGCCTTTAGAACGAACGTAAATGTATACTTATCCATAACTACACCTTGTTCACACATCTCCTTATACACATCCAATGCTTCCGTGGACAACCCTGAATTTGCGTAAGTTTGAATCTTTGAGTTCCACAAGAAAACATCTCTTTCAGACAAATTATCAAACACCTTCTGTGCATCCTTCATGTACAATCGACCCAACTCAGAATACATGGTGAAAAGCTTAGATCCAACAAAAACATTTTCCCCATAACCTCCGACGATGATCTTAGCATGCATTTTGTTGATACATCTGATACTACCTTGGCATTGTGTTAACATGCGGTTTAACTCGTATGAATCTTTCTTTGATACGTATGAAGTGAAGTATCTGATGGAATCGAAAACCGACCTTTTAAAGACTCCAAGAACTCCATTGCGAAACAACCCACACGTCGGAATCTGCAAATTGGAGTGATCCCAGGAACAAGATTTTGGCGCCTTCGTTAAGCCTTGTAGCATTCTTGTCATCCAATTAGAGAAAAATATATTGTTTTTGAAACAATCGAATTAATATACGATCTTGAATTTTCTGAAAATAACACGTTAATGTTTGACAAAAATTAGTTATGTTGGTTAAAACTAGGTAACGACCTGTTTGGTTGTAGCTTATTGGTAATGAAAATGGCTTATTTGTTAATGAATGTTGCGTTTTTTTTTTTTTTACTTAGTGAAGGATAAAGTTGACTATATGGATTAATCTGTCTGTATGAATTGAAAGAATTTTTATTTGAGACAGGTTTTTAATATATATGAAAAAAATGTGTATAAGTCATTTTTTATATTATTAAGTCATTATCAAACAATCATTTATCCGATACAAACCAAAGGGACGAAGGACATAATCTAATAAAACAAAAGAAAAGGAAAAAGATAAAAAAAATTAACTAACATTTTGAGTAAATTACATTTTTGGTCCTCATCGTTGTCATTTACTATCAATTTTGATCTTTTTTTTAAATTAATTACAATTTTAGTTACTGTGGTTCCTATTTTATTGAAACAGAAATTACCATTTATGGATTTGATAGAAATAAAATTATTAATTAATACATACAGATATGGGACGAAGCGGAGTAGGGAATGGTGCACCCGACTACTTAACGACTTAATCCGATTACGTTAACTCGCCATATCATTCAATCACACCATCTCCCCCCATCACCGGCACTTTGTCCGCCGGCGCCGGAGAACAAACAATGTCTTTGTTAAACTCCCAACTCCACCAACAAACCACCGTTTCCTCTCTTCTAACCACCACTTCTTCTATTTCCTTATCTAAAACCCACCACAAAACCCTAACGTTCCTCTTCCGTAAACCCACCATATCATCCCTTCAATTCTCTCTTCACCACCACCCGCAGCAACAATTATACAACAACGTCAACAGAGACGATGAAGGATATGAAGAAGAGCAAGTAATTGGAGACTGTTTAGTATTTGAAGAAGGTATATTCGAAGACCCTTTCATTCAAAACGAAGTTGAACTTGAAGTTCCCAAACAGTCCAAAAAGTTTAACAATAATAAGACTAAAATCGAGGTTAAACCGGAGGATTTGATTCCAGCGAACTGGAAAGACGTTCAGGCGGAAATTAATATCACGAAGAAAGAAAGGAGAAAGATGGCTCAGGAAATGGAGTTTGGGAGCAAATTACAGAGGAAGAAACAGGGGTTAAGACCTATACCGATGGGGTATGAGAGTGCGAAAGAGTATAAGGCTGCAAAATTAAGGGAATTAAAGCCAGTTGTGTTGGATAATCCTGAACTATTGGAGGAAAATGATGAAGATGAAATTGAAATTGATGAGGGTGAGGGTAGTAGGGGTATTAGAGTGGCTCCAAGGAACCCTAAAATGGCGGTGTATGGCCGCAGTTTGGATGATATTTCACGGTTCCTGAATTCCGGCATGTATGATCCTGATGCTGCTAAGGATCCACAAGGTGAAATTTTGCATTATTGGTACTGAAATTTGCTCAAATAACAATTAATATTACTGTGTCTATGAGAGCTGCATTCTTACATATGATTGCATGAGTTGGGAATTAGGAAATTCTTCATGTATTTCTATGAATACTATAGATTTGTACATTTAGAGTTGGGATCATGTGAAAACAAATGAGTTTGATGAGAATGGTGATCACACTTTTGAGTCTCTGGGAGAGTGTTTTTATGTGATAGCTCACAAAAAACATGGACCTTCATCTACCTTTGCCATCTCCATCTTCACCTACGTTTAGTCACTTTCACATGCATGAACTTGTTAAAGTTTCAGTCACGGTGATACAAGTAAGTATGCCGAGGTAAACGAATGTAGATGAAGGTGTGTGAATGCATGTGGATGAAGGTCAGATGTGAGGTTCTCACCCAAAAAAGTTGTTCTCACCGTAACCAACTTTATATATAAGGGAGCAAACAATAAAGTAATATGGTACTTGATGATGTTAAGGCAAGAGTGAGTTCATAAGGCCATAATGAATCTGGGCTCAAGCCTTTAAAAATGAAATGCTTTTTTTTTTAATTTTAACCCAAACCAGGGCATTTATGCGTAGGTGAACCCCAAGCGTTTGGCTTAGCGTCCTTCTCTATGTCACTTAATGCCTCATTAAGCATCACACCTCAAATTCGAATCCAATCAAGTGCTCAGTTTCACATGGTCAAGCCCGTAGGCCAAAGTCCTGAATTTTTCCGGATTCATGTGTAGGAGGTGCTTTATATGGATCATATGGACTAGTTGGGCCAAAGACCATGATTACAAAAAAAAGAAAAGAATGTATGTGTCCGTGAGGATAAAGAGGATATGCGAATATTAGAATTTGACAATTTTAAAAGTTTGAGGATTCAAGGGTGTGGTTATATGTGTGTGTATCTAAACCAAACCAAACGGACCTAGTAAATCCCACATAGAGCAAGGTTGGAAATGGTAAGATGTACGCGGACCTTACCTGAACCCCAAGGGTAAGTAACTAGAGATGTTGTTTCTGTGAAGACCCTCGACTTGCTTGTGTATGTATCTAGCATACAAGTATTAAATCGAAAGAAATTATCTTGTTGTTCATATATTAGACATAAAATCAACACATACTTATCTCAATTATTATTGCTTTTATATTTACTTAATGTGATCATACAACCATAGAGGGAGAAGAATTTGTTGCATCTCGTCTTCTTACTCTTATAGGCGTAAGACATAAGTTTTATATTAGATTTGTAGCCTTGATTTCTAATTTTTCAATTTATGAATTTCATCTCATCATTTAATAAAGACCAAACTCGCCCCTTCCCTATCTCCAATCCTCTACAGTCTCATTGGAGGTTACAACTTTGTATATAGAAGCATATCCTCTTGAAACTTTTGGTCCCTTTTTCAATTATGATCTCTTAACTTGGCTTCGATGTTATTGTGTTATTATAACCTTGATTAGGTTCTCGTAAGTTGTTTACGAAGGAGGAGAAGTTCCTAATGAATAGGCGGGTTCCTGATTTGGCAGCTGCCACCTCAGTAAGTTTCTTGTTACATGTTGGTGGTAGTGTTGTTAGGATGTACGGATAGATTTATGTCGTTGCTTCTGTATTACCAATCAAAGGTGATCAATTGGTTTGATTTATCTTCAATAGCAATGAATGCATGTATAATATATGTATAGGATGCAAGTTACTTCCTCCAGCTCATGAACATTGTAACATTTGTCGTCACTTATAGTTTAAAGAACTTGCTTCAGTGTTTGTTAAGGGTGTGTTTGGTATGTCCACGAGATTGTACGGCACTAGACGAGCTAAGCTGAGAAAGGTGAAAGAATTGTGGAAGGTTTTAGGGTTTTAATTTGACATGGGGTAGTTTAGTAAATTTACCAATTTTGTCTCATCATCCTAATTTTTGTGGGACAAAATGGTACGTTTTTGTTCCCCTCAGTTTTATCCTATCTCAGTCTAATGCCTCGCCAAACGTAGGACAAAAAATAACATGTTATGTCGTCTCCTGTCTTGTCCCTCGTGCCAAATGTTCCCTTACAAAAACTTCTTGTCCCGTGTTTGGCAACATTAAAATAGGACAGGAAGAAAGGTGGAACAAAAATCAGGGAAATGAGACAAGACTAGTATATTACTAAACTACCCATGTCAAATTAAAACCCTAACACCTTCCACGAATCTTTCACCCACCTCCCTCACTCTTGCCTTTTCTTATCCATTCTTGTCCGCGTACCAAACGCACCCTAAAAATCTAACATATCCTTTGATGGCGACAAAGTGGGGGGAATCTTGTCGAACCAATTGAATGCCATCAATTTATTTTGTGACTATGATGATGGGCAAATGACTACTTTAACATGCAAACTTTTCGAGAAAATTTACAATTTCCATAGGATATATTGTTGTGATGTTCTTGGAATGGAAGGAGTATTATATTTCAACTTTGTGTTTGTTTGAACAGGACAAATGGCAACCTTTACACACTCTTGCAGCATCAGGAGAATTTTACCTTCTTGACACTTTGTTGAAATACAGTGTAGATATTAATGTCTCTAACCAGGTAAATAACACTAACCTGCATTTCCTCTTTTTCTGTTTATTGTCATATTTATCAAACCTGAAATAATGCAAATTTTACCATTTGCATGATTGCATCCTGTTTTGATCTTAGCTTTCTTCTGTGATTTCTTTGCAGGAGGGGCTGACGGCAATTCACAAAGCTATTCTTGGCAAAAAGCATGCCATTTGTAATTATCTACTACGAAATTCAGGCAACCCATTTGTTCGTGATAAAGTAAGCATGAATCTAATTTCTGAAAACACGATTTGATGCAATTTCTATGATATTAATTTTGCTTTTGTTGCCAGTTCAGTGTTCTCACTAACAAAAAGAACGGAACCATACCAAACAAGCCAAGTATATCGCACTCGGTGGTGGCATTTGGGGGTGGGATGTATGGTACCTAACATCTACCCTAGAAAGTAGAATGGCTGTTTACGTGAAAGATCCACAACTTGCAAAGTATATGTGCAAAAAGGAAAGTCTGCCCTAAAAGTCCGAACAATATAGAAACAAGGAGAAGAAGCAGGAAAAGGAATAAGATGGAATTAGAAAAAAGACTAACAGTAGAGAAAAGTAAGCAGCATCATATAATCAGTAGTATGTACAAAGGAACATGGCAAAGGTTAGACAACTAGACATCCTCTGGTGTATCCTAGGACTGTAGTTTGCCCATCTCCCAGCTCACTACCTACCCCACACCCTCTACCTCTTGGATGACCATTTATAGGAGAACAAATGAGGTTAAAATGATTTGAACCTGAGTAGTGGTGCATAATGCATTTTGAGATTGTTTTTGTGAATGGAATAGAAAATGAAGTTAAATATACAACTGTGAATAATGATATTTGTATTCTGTGTCTGATGACAACAGGACGGGGCTACCCTCATGCATTATGCTGTACGCACCGCATCAACTCAAATGATAAAAATCCTCCTACTATATAATGTTGATATAAACCTCCAGGACAATGTATGTTGAAGTACTATGATTTCGCTTACTTTTTGTTCTTCGCCTCATATCGATGGTATATGATTTGTTTGTTCATTTCAGGATGGGTGGACGCCATTGCATCTAGCTGTTCAGTCCCGTAGAACGGATGTGGTGAGGCTTTTATTGATCAAGAAAGCCGATAAGTCCCTAAAAAACCAAGTATTATCTCTCTCTCTCTCTCTCACACATAAAACTTGTTATGACTCATGTGCATAGAGGCAGAGGCGGATCAGAAAAATTTCCAGGCGGGGCACAAAATGATTGGCTTAATGAAAAATAAGGTTTAATTAAAAAGGACATACAAGAGGCTTTTCAACATACAAGTGGTTTTTTCTTCTTTTTTCTGTTGTTACCAAAAAAGTAAGAGTGTCGAAAGGATTTGAATTTGTAACCTTTAATTCCATGTACAATGACACTTCCAGCATCCACTTTTTGTTAAACTTAGGGGAACACACATCAAATTAAAGCAGATGCACCTTTAAGACCTCTAATATTTTATTCCATTGCATCGGCACACCCCTCTGGCCTTTTTAAATCCGCCCCGGCATAATAGAGGAAAGTTGATTTAGGAACCATAAATATTTTGAGAATTGAGATATTCATAATGAATGTACATGAGTATCTATGACAAATATCCATCATGAATATTTATTCATTATGAATATTTGGTTCTCAAATGAAGCTGCTTCTATGTGCATAAGATGATATAGGACCATATCCAGATTTTAGACTGAGATGTACTTTGTGTGATGCCGATAGGATGGTTTGACTCCACTGGATCTTTGCCTTTATAGCGGAAGAGACACGCGAACTTATGAAATGATCAGGCTATTAAAACAGCCGCCCAAACCACGTAAATATGCTGAACTCATGGGATAGCGGTTTCGTAGTTGCATTGTGGTTCATGACCATCACCATCCTGTCATGTGAAACTTCGGTTGGTCGGCAAAAGACCTGACTCTGATGACTCACAGCATCATGTTGATAAGAGAGTGAATGTGCTGTGTGCTGAAACCCGCATCGCACGAGGCCAGGATAGGTAGGCTATGTACCTATATGGATTAAATTGTCTTAGTAGATTAAGCTAAATTGCTATTTGTTTGTTGTGTTGAATAAACCAAAGAAATGATATAGATGACCATCTTACCCCTTGCTATTAGTTTTTTGTTTCTTTCCCTTCTATTAAAGAACTTCCATAATCTTAGTGACTTGGGATTAACATCTTCAAACATATAACCCACTTTTCTTTCGATCATTTCATCAAACACCTTATATGCATCATTTCCATTTCCATTTCCATTTCATATGTGTATGCTGTGATATTAGAAGCAAGTACCAAGTCAATTGTTGTGTCGTGCACACATGTGCGTGATCAGGGATATTCCAGCCCTGTTTACTTGAATAGAATCATTCTTTTTTTAACGTTCTACGAAAGATGAAATGGATAATCGTTAAAAATCGGTTAAATCTGATAAAAGTTTAAAACATTATGACTGAGGTAAAAGGTTGAAACATATATAGAATTTTAGAAACTCTATTTCATATATCATGTTGATGCACATCTCAATACGCCCTCTGCACGACACGGACGGGCGTAGGTGAGCGTGTGTGTGCATGCGATGTGTCGTGTGTGTCCGTCTAAGGACCGCATCACTATATGAATCCACATGCAACGTCCTTTTTAAGTATGGATGGTCCACATGCAGCCAAATGCTGAAAAATTAATATATATATATATATATATATATATATATATATATATAGGATCATGTGAGACCAATGGTTTTTCGTGAGATTCGTAAAATCAATTCTCAACCCTTGGATTAGATTTACAATCGTCAGATCTGAACATTCATAAACGCCACGAGACTTCTCAATAATTACAAAATTGTCACCTTGCAACTTTAGACCATTAGATCATTAGTTTATAAAGTTAATTAATGAACAAAAATTAGTCTTACGGGTCTCACGAAAAACCATTGGTTTCATGTGAACCCAACCCATATATATATCCTTTTTATTAATTAAGGTAATACAATTAATATAATAAAATGATTGATTCATATTGGACCTCACGGTTACCATAAACTAATTAGTTCTCATTTGATTAGGCTCATATATATCTATATAGGGGAGCGATCAAATGCAAACCATTCAATTTGTACAAACCATGCAAACTGCATTCAACCAATCATAATTTTTCATTTTGTTCATTTCTTTGTAATTATGAGAGGTTGATTAATCATTTTTATTGTGGAGGGTGTTAATCATAGATATTATCATCTTCATTATTTTAATTTTAGAGAAATACATGAAACTGTTTCATTAATGTTAGAGAAATACATGAAACAGTTTCATTAAGTATTATATGAAACAATTTCACAACCATATATGAAACAACTTCATCAAAAAAAGTATTATATGAAACAATTTCACAAGATTAAACAATTTCATGAAAAAATTTCATAAGATTAAACAATGAAATCGACAGATGAAGGTGGTTTGCACGGTTTACACAAATGAAGACGGTTTTCATATGATCACTCCTCTATATATATATATATATATAGAGAGAGAGAGAGAGAGAGAGAGAGATTTAGTGTCATATGACACTAATTTATTTTCATGAGACCATTTTTTTACATTTGAAACTTTACAGTAAAACACTATAAATATAACTTTTACATTGTTTTTGTTGTACAAGTTCGATTTTTTTATACCTTTTTTGCTGTGAAACTTTAAGGGTAAAAAAGTAGTCTCACGGATATCACGAAAACAGTCTGGTCTCACTTGAATCCAACTATACATATATAGAGGTATGTTCAAACAAGAAGACGGTCAATTTACAAGCAGACGAGGAAATAATTTAAGCCACACAATCTATTAATTAAAAAATATCATAAATAAAAAATAATTTTGGAAATTAGGATAACTATTTTATTTAATTAGATAAATCGTTAAAAATCTCATTATATCTTTTAGATTTTTTTTTTAAATTTTAATTAATTAATAACCTTTTTTTTATCAAGTTTGATATAAAAAAATAGATACACTTTTAATAAAATAATTTCATAATTTTCATCAAAAATCACATGTGATATCTACGATCAATTCATATGTAAAGATTGTAGATATTTTCGCTAATCATATCTTATAATCGTAGATATTTTTTTTAATCATATGTGATTATGTATATTTATATTTATAGATTTTTTTGTGATGTAAATTTATCACATGTGATAGTATATCACTTATACTCAGACGTATATCATCATATATGATATGTACAAAAATTCACATAATGAATCATATAGTTCATATGTGATATGTAATAGATAACATGTTAAATAAAGTTTATTACATGTGATTCAAAACGTGAATCCAAAAATTAAGGAAAATATTATGAATTAATTTTAGATATCACATGGATATTCGATGAAAATTTTGGATTTTTTTTTATCAAAGTATATATGGACAAAAAAAGTTGAGTTATTGAGTTAAAGGACCATTTCCCTCATTTAAATCGGTCTTATAACCATTTCTCTTCCAGATTGATCCAGATGTCTCTACTTCCGCAAGATTTAGGTACACAATATGGCTAAAAACCAAAAAATCAACACAAATATGCAATTGCGATGGTCAAATATGCAATTGTGATTGTCAGGTTCACAATTGCGACGGGTCAGATCTGCAATTGCGACGGTAAACTAGTTAAATTTGACATTTTTTTTATCTTTTAGTAGGTCCACTATGTACTACGAATGTAGTAACATTTGGATCAATCCATGAAAGAAATGGTTAGGAGACCAATTTGAATGAGGGAAATGGTCAATTAAGCTAATTTCTCACAAAAATTATATAAAACTTTATAAAATAATTATGAATTTATTAAATTAAAAAAATCTAAAAGATATATTAGATTTTTAAAGATATATCCAATTCAAAATGATAATTATTCTAAGTTTAAATTTTTTATGTTATTTTTTAATTAATGGATTATGTTGTCCATATTCTTTCTCATCTTCTCACAAATTAGTTAGTTTCCTCCATCTTCCCCCCTCTCTCTCTCTCTACACACACACAAACACACACACACACACACACACATATATATATATATATATATATATACTAGGTTCGATCACGTGTATTACACGGGGTAAATTTCAAAAAATTAAATCATGTCAGGAACTTATCTTAAAGATATGAATGATCATCGAAAGTACGATGCTACTTTAGACTTGTACTCTTGAAATAACTTTAAAGTATAACACTTTTCAAACTTGAACTTAGAAATGAAACTATATCAATAATTAGTTAAAATGAAGTTAACCCTAGAATTAAATTAAATTTAGAAATAAAACTATATCAGTAAATTAAATTTAAACTTAGAAGTAAATTTAGAATGACTCTTTATACTTTTACTTTTGAAATAACTCTAAAGTATAACTCTGAAGAATGACTTCAGACTTGTACTCTTGAAATAACTCTGAAGAAAAACTCTTCAGACTTCAGACTCTGTATAGGCAAGCCAGAAGCTCTGGATGCACTATGTAGAGGCTCTGCATGCACTATGGAAAAGAAGGTTTCAGAATTCGGATGAGCTAACTCTGAAAAATGACTCTTCATACTTGTAATATGAAAATAACTCTGAAGTAAAACTCTGAAAAACGGCTCTTCAGACTTGTACTCTTGAAATAACTCTGAAGTATAAAATCAATCACACTAAATCAGAGTTCAGAATTCTAAGTCTTAAAAAAAAGACTTCAGAGTTCAAACTTAAGAATTCGGGTAAGCTAACTTTGAAGAATGACTCTTCAGACTTGTAGAAAGACTTCAGAGTTTAGACTTAAGTCTGAAAAAGAGGACTCCAGACTTCTTTTTTTAAGTCTAAAGACTTCAAAGTTCAGACTTCTAAGTATAAAAAAAAACTTTAGAGTTCAGACTCCAGAGTTCGGGTGAGCTAAGTCTGAAAAAACAGACTTCAGAGTTTGGGTGAGCTAACTCTTTAGAATGACTCTTCATACTTGTACTCTTGAAATAACTCTGAAGAATAATTTAAGACTTATGCTTTTGAAATAACTCTGAAGAATGACTCTTCAGACTTGAATTTAGAAATGAAACTATATCAATAATTAGTTAAAATAAAGTTAACCCTAGAATTAAATTTAATTTAGAAATTAAACTATATCAGTAAATTGAATTTAAACTTAGAAGAACGTCTGTGTCAAATCTGAAGACGAAATCTGAAGACCTTGAGTTCATAGTTATTCAAATACCCAATATCTTTGAAAAAGACCTCACAGTAAAGTTTGCATCATACAAAGCAAGACCAACCAGAGCTCCTCTGATATCTAGAAGCCAAACCAACCAGAGGGGCTCTGGCTTACAAGACTAAGTCCAAGTTTTAAAGACTTATCTTCAAAGTCTAAATAAGTTTATTACTAGACTTGTACTCTTGAAATTACTCTGAAGTAAAACTCTTCACACTTCAGAGCTTTGTATAGATATGTTAGAAGCTCTGCATACACTATGTTGAGGCTCTGCATACACTATGTTGAGGCTTTGCATACACTATGCAGAGGCTCTGCATGGTGTCCGTTTGGAAAAGAAGACTGCAGAGTTTAGATGAGCTAACTCTGAATAATTACTCTTCAGACTTGTACTCTGGAAATAACTCTGAAATAAAACTCTGAAGAATGACTCTTCAGACTTGTACTCCTGAAATAACTCTGAACTATAAAACCAATCACAGTAAATCAGAGTTCAGATTTCTAAGTTTAAAAAAAAGAGTTCAGAGTTCAGACTTTGGAGTTCGGGTGAGCTAAATCTGAAAAAGAAGACTTCAGAATTTGGGTGAGCTAAGTCTGAAAAAGAAGACTTCAGAATTTGGGTGAGCTAACTCTGAAGAATGACTGTTCAGACTTGTACTCTTCAGAATTATAGAAGACTTCAGAGTTCAAACTTCTAAGTCTGAAAAAGAAGACTTTAGACTTCTTTTTTCTAAGTCTAAAAAAAAGACTTCTTTTTTCTAAGTCTAAAAAAAAGACTTCAGAGTTCAGACTTCTAAGTCTGAAAAAGAAGATTTCAGAGTTCAAACCCCAGCGTTCGGGTGAACTAACTCTGAAGAATGACTTCAGACTTGTTCTCTTGTAATAACTCTGAAGTAAAACTTTTCAATAAATTGAATTTAGAATAAAATGAAGTTAACCCTAGAATAAAGTTGAATTTAACAATGAAACTATATCAGTAAATTGAATTTAAACTTAGAAGTAAACACTATTTTTTAAGGAATCAGTTACCACACGAATTAATTAACCAATGAATAAAATCAATTGCATCTTAAATTAGTAGGATTGATTGAATAACAGGACACATGTCAATCAAATGAATATAATTGAACTGTTAATGTAAATTGTGTCTAGATACGTTCAAGTGAGTCTAATTGAACCATTAATGTAAATTATGTCTAGATACGTTCAAATGAGTCTAATTGAACCATTAATGTAATTGTGTCTAGATACATGTTTAGGTGGGAAAATAAGATAACCGACTCACCAGAAGATGATACGTGTCACCCAAGTTACTTATTTATTAGGTGTATAGATATATTATTGTTTTATTTGAATTTTTTAATTAAAAAAATTTATCCTTAACACTAAATATAGCATGCTTAATTTAAAGCTAAATAATTTAAAATCATTTGATAAAATAAAAAAAATATATTCAAAAACTCGTTATATTTCTGAAAATAAACTAAGCACGAGATCTGATATAAAAATATAACATCCAATTGATGTACTCTACCATCTCGTATTTTCCCTTTAAGACTCAAAATTACCCCAACTCGGTTAATATTAAAAAGATAAATTACATCTTAAACGATGCGTATTTTATTTTGGTTCCTATTTTGAAAAATAAAAATAATGTATTACTGTCGGTTTTGATTGGGTAATGCCTAACAAATAAAGTGTTTATTTTACTTCTTAATCATGCATATTTTATAAAAACAAAAAATTACTGATTTGTTTCAAAAACTAGAAAAATAAGAGATTTTATACAGTTTGACTGATGATAAATTTGCTCATAAAGAGACACTCAAAGAGTAGAAGAAGGTACCCTTTTATGTATGAAGAACCGAGATGGTCTTTAGAACTAACACACACTATTTCTGTCAAATGGGCGATTTGCAACATTGACAAGGGGTGCCTTTTATAGCCACCAATGCATTATATGTTGTGTGCTAATTAAATTTAACGTGTGTTTTCATCTGAATTGTTGATCAATGCATCTTTGTACTCTTCGTTTCAGCCTTTGGATCTTTAATGATGTAGATGTTTGTTGCTCTAACCCGTCATTTTGTATGCAAAGTGAACAATACATGAAACATGATATTATTAAAATAATACTTTAAACTTACTTTGATTGACATACAGAGCATGTTTCCATACCAGGACGTTTGTTGGTGACCCAAACTTAATGGTTAAGTTTGCACTGCAAGTAGGTTTGCCAAACAATATTCATCAAATTGTCTGACTTATCTGGTACTGGTCTTTAATCAGCTAGATGACAATTCAATCCATTTTGGTGTCGATCTTAGCTTCACTTCAACTAATCTTCGATTTTGCTGAAGGCATTCTGCTTGGACATACTGAATATAAGAATAAGATTTTTACAACTAAATCCCATTCTGATCTTTAGTCCAAAATATAGGAAATATCTGATATTCTAGCAAGATCATATTACATAGAATCGAATAAGTTCATTTTGGATTCTCAAGGGTCTTCAGATCCTCAGTTATTCCAAATGCTGTCATTTTGGGATCCTATATAACTCGGTACCTGTAAGGCATTTTGGATCCCAATGCTTTTCGGGTTTCATCCTTATATAAATCCGAATCGGAAAAAAACGTGACCTTTAGTTTACATTTTAGATTCTAGACAAAAATCCTAAAAATTCTTTTAGTGTTTTATCGAATGTGTCTGTATAAATAATAATGTCGTATTTTATAAAAGGAAAAAATAAACATCAATATCCATTTAACTCTAAATTTGGAACGTATGCATTCAACCTTTCTTCATTTTAATAAGATGTCTAAAATGTCGTAACACACATCATGTTTGCATTTATGACAAAACGTCAACAATTTAACGATATCCGCATAAATTATTGTTTGTAAAAATATAGAAAATGATAGCGAAAAAGGTAACTTGGGTTCATGAATTTGAGGAGAAAAGAAAAGAATGAAAGAATTTTTTTTTGTGTTCTTGAACACGAGATAAATTAAAGAAAATATATCATTTTTACTGTCACACCCTTTAAAAAATATATGCCTTAGAATAAAAGATCGAGTAATTAACTATAAGGGTGGTGCCTGATTGGTTTGAACTTGACTCCAAAGGTCAAAAGTATCAGGAGGTCCCATATTCAAATCCAATGAGATATACAAATCCCCTTATGGCCACGGAGGTTCAAATGCGGTGACTCCGGGCTATCTGCAAAGTAGGTGGTCGCCCTGAGATTAGTCAGTTTGCATAGCGGGTTAGATATCCAGGTTAATCGAAAAAAAAAGATCGAGTAGTTTTATATTTTTAATTATTTTAATTTCTTTTTTTCCCTTTCCTGTATTTTTGAGAGATAAGTAAGTTATGGAGGAAACTTATCATTATTTTCTTTTGTTTCATTTCATTTCTCTTCTAAAAAACTTTCAAAAAACACGAGTTTTTTCTTAGAGGCCGTTTATCAAACCCTTATCCGGGTAAATGCTTACCAAGTCACATTACCTTACCGGATGAATATAGAAGAACCAAAAATCTCACCCGGTAAGAGGGAATAAGGTAAGGACCGAGAGTCTTATCCGGTAAGTGAGGACGACGACTCTTACCACGGTTAACGCTTACCGGGTAAATTGTTGCATACGGTTTTGTTTTGATCATACCCGATAAGTAAGTGATAGTGTTGAATTTTATCCGTAAAATCTTACCCGAGTAAGCGTTTGGTAAATGACACCTTACTTTTCTTCCCTTATTTTCTTTATAAAAAAGGTTTCAAAAACACAGAGTTTTTTTTTCTCAATTAATATCAATATAATTCACTCCTTAAAATATAAATCTCATTAATGTCTAAAGGGTCTTCTTAATTTCGAAACTTCAAATACTTATTTAAACGGATTAATACATAATAATATGTTGTAAATGTTATTATAATATAATAAAAATATTGTACATATATGAATATATCTGTAAATTAAATCTTGAAAAAAAACAGATTAAAAAATCAGAACAAAACATATATCAATATACGTATTCAATTAAAAAAATATGTTCTACTTTGTTCCTGTTTGTTCCACATAAAAGTCATGCCAAACATGAGACATGGATCCATGTCCTGTTCTGTCCAGTGTACCAAATACACCCTTAAGTTTCTGTTTTTATTGTTTACAAAAGAAACAAAATCGAAATATAATAAAAATTAAAAGATTTTATATTTAATCTTTATTTATAATATAAACATCTTCAACAGATTCTTTAAAATAATGATTTTTGCTTTAACACAAAAGATGATGAAATTATCCAAATTTAAATATTTTTCAAAGTATGACTACCCATGAAAGAGAAATGTTTTCTTTATTCATTCCATCAATGAGATTGTTTGAATTTTAAAGACAAAAATAATATTTTATGAGTTGTATTAAATATTTTAATAATTTATTTAATTATATAAACTTCAAAATAAAAATAATTTTGCTTTTGACTTAAGGAGTGTTTGATATTGCTTATAAAAACAACTTATTGACTTATCTTGTTGTGGTATTGGTAATAAACACTTTTGAGTGTTTGGATAAATAACTTATACCAGTGTCAAACCGGTAATAAAAAGTTTTTAAAGAAGTTAAACCTTTCTGACTTATAACAAATTGATAAATACTTTTATAAAAAAATATAAATTGTTTCAAATAAAGGATCCCAAATACCCTTTATTATTTTCTTAGTTTAGAGCATGAATATTTATATGTTTAAAATAAATAAAGATAGAAAAACATGTTATGAAAAGATCTGAACGGATCGTATGTTACTACTTATAAATTATAATGCTGATGGAGCCTTGTTTCTACCTTCACCAACACCCCCCGCATATCTCTCTCCACCATCGGAATCACTCTTGTATAATGCTCCGACTTCAATTGTCTGCTCGTTCCTTTGTCAGCTCCGGCGCCGGCGACTTTGCGGATCATCAAACATTCGTCTCTAATCACCTCGGACGTTCATTACCTTCGATTTCATATTCTACACTTCAACTAAAGCATTATCACCGACGTTCCAAACCGGTTGTCATCTCTTGTAGTTCTTCTCCTGGTCGAAGATCTAAACGCTACGAATATGAAGACGGTGATGATTACTTGGAAGCTGGTGTACTCATGACAGGTATATTATTGTTCCTTTGTTGGAATTCGATACTCCAGTTGTTTGTGACAGTCGAGATGCGTAATTATTAGATATAGTAAGATGTTTGAAGTTAATTTCTTCATGATAAATTCGCCTAATTTAGGAATTAATTTTGTAGGTCGTGGCATCTCATTGGATAAACTTGTGTTTTTGGTACAAGGGAACTTGTTTAAAATAGTCATATATGGTGTAATTATGTAAAATTTCTAACTACACACTGTCAATGTGAAGAACGTTTACTGATTTTGCTCGGTGGCTTATGTTGAGACCAGTGAACTCCCATTGGGAATGTACTAATTATATGTGGAGTATATACATGATACATCCTCTTACCTTTACTCGTTGCTAATTAATTTTGAGTTGAAGCATGAGAGTCTAATATGTTATCGGAGTATGTTATTCCGTTGTGCAGATCCAACTGTTACCAGGAGCCTTGGAGGTTGTGAGACTTGCGATCCCACTTTAGCAAAATGGGAACATTTCTGATGAATATAGAGGATCTTTGGTTTTGCACTCTTGGCGAATTGGTATTGAGTTGGAACCCATAGAAGTCTATTATTTAGAGGCTAGTGGAAATTGAACTGTTTTGTGGCAAACTAAAGTTAGTGATTCTGCAGTAAATTAGCAGATTTCTACCACTTAAACTTAACACGAGCAATTGTTTGGCATTATTGATCAAGCCGCTACTGATTTAATTAAACCTCATAAGCACTAAAACAGAATTTTAAAATAGCATACCCTGAGGAAATACTCATTTGTTGTTCTCTCTAACCAAAATTCGATGTCAAATCCAAGAGATAATGATAATGCAGTTGTTAGGATGAATGTTAACTGCCAAGGTGGTTATTTATTAGATCTGTAATTACAATGGTTATTTAGATTACCAAGTTATAACAGCAGTTGGTAATGGGATCTAATCAATTGTTATTAGCAAATCTTTGGTGGAACACTGGTATAATGCACAGGTCATTTGTCTGGTTCACTAATGGAAGTTATAGACTATCTATGATACTTCTTGCTACTGGTGGGTAGAAGGGTAACAATTGATATTTCTAGTCAGATCCTATATTTTTGGATGATGGGTTGTCAGAATTATCTGGTATCAACATATTACTGTTCCATATCAGGCAATAGTACAGCTGCTTCAGCCAGAGCCTGTGAGTTTCTGATTCAGGGTAATTCTTTATCTAGGTCAAGGCTCTGAAGAAAACATCAATTATTGATGCATACTATGTGAACAAACTCGTAGAAAAAAAATCCTTGTTAGCAATATGGTCAACAAATATATCAACAAGTCAGAAGGATCTCATTTCACAAAACTTTCCAAGCTTGCCTCAAAAAGTATCATTGCAAATGCCAAAACACTGCAGCCATCTCTAGTTTTTCTTCTAAAATTTCTTTCTAGCCTCTTACTTCAAAGATTCAAGCTACAACCACCAAGCATATAGCTTGGAAGGAACATCTGACTTCCTCCATAGGATTCTTTAAGGCATGTGAAACATTAACCATGCATGTACGAAGAATACCTTTCAACCTTGGACCAAGGGTGTGTACAAACTTCCAGGGCTCTACATGGCGTTTAAAATCTTCTGCAAGGAATACGCTTTGGTTGTGATGATTGAAGTGTACTTTATATAAAGTGGAGCGTTCTGCTAATGCTAGAAAGATCATTTCGTATCATAACAATACTGCAGATCAAAATTGGAATAAAAACATCTGAGTCATGCCCTTGCATTGGTATGAGTGGGTTTATCATGATTTTCATCACACCACAAGGAAAAACTATTGCAAGTCCTGAAAAAATGGTTTAGTGAAACCAGATCATGCTAAACTAGTTGAAGCATGTTATACTACCTTTCTGATAACTTTTTCTTGAAAGAATTGTATTTTTTAATGGATATGTATGGACATTTGTTATTTTAAGGAATACGCATATTTTTCCAGTTCACTGTTTCATGGCCGTGAATTATGGCTTCCCTTTTATTTTTGTGCAGAAACTCTAATGCACTATCAGATGCGTATACAAGGATATCAAGAAGCGATAAAATGGCAGCCTACTGGAAAGTTGTTTCCCTTCTCTGGTCAAGAAAAAGGTCCTAGTACTAGACCCAATATCCAGACTCTTGGACCGGAATTTCTTCGCCAATATCGAAGTCCCACCATATTTCTTAAGATTTCCTGTGATTGTGATGGAGACTATTTGCTACCAATTATCGTAGGTACATGGATTAGTTTCTCATGCAACTATTTTCAAAGTTTTATCCAATTTTTCCTAAGGGTATTTGGGTGTGTTGATTGCATGGCATTCACCATTAACTTTTGTACACTGCAGGTGAATATGCTGTTGAAAAGCTAATAAGCTCCTCGCTGGAAGATGAGGTTTAGGTTGTTTATGGTTGAAGAGGAAAAGTTCAATCTGACTTCCATAATAATTCTTTTGTTGTGATGTTGCAGGGATTTCCCAACCAGTTTCAGCTTGTGAGAAACATTGTGGGGAAACTTGGCTATGAAGTATGAAGACAATCTTATCATGCATATATATAATACTGCTTTTACTTTTTTTTATTTATTTATCATGCTTATGTTCCTTTCTTGATTGCACATTGAGATTGATATCAATTCTAGTTTGCATCTGAGGTCATGAGTTGACGTACATGGTTTAGTAAGTAATTGTCTAGAGTTAACTGATTCATTTTGCCATTAGTTGGTCAGCCCTGCATTATAATTTATATGTACGTATTTTATGAGTTTTTTGGCCTCTGCAAACTAGGTTTAAAGGAGCATCATGGATTTTTAGAACATTTCTTTGAATTAATTTATCATACATATTATTTGGCATAAAAACTTCTAGTTCTATAACAGAACCTCCTTTATAAGAATTATTGTTGACAAAGCTTTTACAAACAAACATGCGATTTTTTTGAAGTTGTAAACTTTTTGTTCTCTCCCCTTATTTTAATGTATTTTCTGGTTGCTTCTTGTCATCTTTGTAAGGTTTATAAAAGCACTAGCTCAAATTTTGCAATTGCTGCATCATTTTTATGCTTTTCTTAATATTCAACTGGACATCTGTTTTTTCTGAGTAACCCATGAGAATAGTCTTCAGTTCGTTGAGAACTCCTTTTGTTATTACTCTTATGGATGCTACCAAGAGTTTTCGATGAGACCTCCTGTTAAGTGTGATATTCCAGAGTTAACCACCCATTTTGAACTCTAATGCTGACTTTGTTTTTCTTTCTCTTGTTCTTTTTATTTCAGGTAAAACTGGTACAGATTACAGAAAGAGTGAATAATATATACTTTGCAAATATATGTTTTCACAAGGTAAGTATAGGATGTATATCATATGTGCCATGGCTAATTGGCTATGATTTACTATGAGGAGATGAAATGAATTGGACATCTTGATCTTGATTAAATTTCCTCATTGCAGCCAGGCACAGAAGATATTAGAGTGGATGCTCGTCCTTCAGATGCCATAAATGTAGCTAAACGATGCAGGGTAGCTAAATACATCTATACTCTCTTTTACTGTTATTTTGTTATAGTTTTGTAGGTTTTGTCAAAGAAGCTATAGAAGTCATAAGAGAAAAAAAGGATAATAATTTATTTTGAACCTAAACGAATGTGAGAGTCCCACTGATTCATAATACATTGCATATGCTGAGGTTACTTTGATGGTTCATTTGATTCTTTCACTAACACGATATCGGTCACAATAATTCACATGTTTCTGAATTTGATTAGGTAAAGGAAGTGGAATTGCAATAATAATTATAAGTTTGTGCAGAATAGGCTTAGGGGCCGTTTACTTAAACACTTACTCAATAAGCACTTACCCGTAAAATTCAGCACTATTACTTACTGGGTATGATTTTAGTCCACCAAAATGGCATCGTATGCAACAATTTACCTAGTAAGCACTAACCCGTAAAATTCAGCACTATTACTTGCTTACCAGGTATGATATTAGTCCACCAAAACGGCATCGTATGCAACAATTCACCTAGTAAGCACTAACCGTGGTAAGAGTCATCGCCTTCACATACCGGGTAAGACTCCCGGTTCTTGCCTTCGCTCTTACCAGGTAATTTTTTTTTGGGTACTTGCCATATTCATCAGGTAAAGTAATGTGACTTGGTAAGCACTTACCCGGGTAAGCGTTTGGTAAACGGCCCCTTGCTATGGACTAGTATAGAGTCATGGTCATAAAGGTACATAGTGGGTCATGGACCAAAATATAACAACCTAATACTAAGCTTACCTAACTCAGCTAATACGATTACTCCAAAAAGAAATACATCTAGACCTTTTAGTTTAAAACCTATTTTTAATGAAATTGACACAGATTTTTTCTAAGTTTTTCATATATATTCAATATGCAGAGCCTCCCATTAAAGTTTGATGCAGTTATCATTGATGGTTGGTTTTAGAGCCGCTAAGTATATATGCCATCTCATCCAATGCAAGTCTTGTATCATTTGACAATGCCATGTGAATTACGGGAGCATAAAAAGGGGATCCTAGCCTTTTGTATGATACAAAAACTGTTGTTAGACAGTCAGATTATGGTTTGAGATAATCTTTAATGGGACTGGGAACTTGAATATAGTATGGTCATGTGAGAATGTCTGTTGAGAAATCGTTGGTGTGTCTTACAATATTTTGTCTGCAGTTCCTAGATACTTGTTTTTGGACTGTACTCTTAGGGTACGTTCGTTGTGGGAGGTTTTAGGGTTTTAATTTAGAATAGGTAGTTTAGTAATTTACAAATCTTGGCTCATCTCCCTGATTTATGCTCCACCAATTTTGGTGGGACGAAAAAGTTGTCCTAGTCTAATATTGTACCAAACATGGGACAACAAGTTTTTCGTTCTGTCCTGTCCTGCGAATGCACCTTTCCCAATTCAAGTCTTAAGTCTGGGTTCCAATTCGTGAAATCGAGAATGGTGGTGTGTGTGTGTGTGTGGGGCAGGCGGCTGTAGCTGTTCTAGCTATATGGATGTGCTCAGATCCTTTTACTACATATTCAATACTTTCAGGCCCTAATCTCTTTTCTTTCAATTTTCCTCTCTTGCCCTTGTGATTCTGACATTTGTACCCTGGGTTGAATATCCCTCCAAACCCTTAGAAAACAATAACTCGCTGAGACATGCCTAATAATGCCATTACAGAGAGACGACTATAGCAAGTTCTATTATATATACTCTGATTAACAAATGATCTGTACATTATCTTGATTTGATGCTACCAATTATGTGCCACTGGTAACTATTCATGCATTACCCTGACATTCTTGTTTTTAGTTGTTCGCTTTTGGTTGCATTACTTGATTTGCTCACACTTTTTGGATTATCGACTGGCAATGACTATTCATGCAGGCACCAATTTATGTAAATAAACAAATTGTGTTGACTGATGCTGTTAAGATAGTCTATGGGATGGGCAAGTTACCTGATAGAAGACCTACATATGATGTATTCTTGGACAGGTATAACCTCAACCTTTTCTCCCGATGCTATTCCCTCCGTCCCAAAATACGTGTCCTCATTTTTACTTAGTTTGTCCCAAAATAAGTGTCTACTTTCCAATTCTATCCTTAATAATGAGATGATAAATTCTTTACTCCCTTATCATTAAGGGTAAAATTGTCATTTTGATGATTAAAAAATATAATGATTACATGTTCCTAAAACTGTATGCTTTTTTCATAGTGAACATTGGGACGGAGGTAGTATTAAGTTATTGCATCCATACCTGTTTCGGGGAAACCATTCAATGTCTCTAATTCTGGAATTGCTACATTGTACAGTGCCATAGATGGTCCAGATGTCCTTGCTGAGGAGCTTGATATAGTTACAAAAATGAATCTTGCTGCCAAGGAAGAAAGATACAGTGATGCAGGTACTTAGAAATGATGCAAGAGATGGGTTTTTGCCAAAATTTATACAATTTGTTTAGTCCATTTGTTTCATAAGTCGTAACCATAATTGGTTTTCCGAACTTTGCGAAGATCAATAAATCAAACCAAACGAGCCCAATATATCCCATCTGGAGGTGGGGTCTTGGAAGGGTGGGATCCACATATAACTGACCTCTACCCCTAAGAGTAAACTGTTATTTCCGTGATTTGCAAAGATCAATGGTGGTTGCAATCAATATTTCCCTTAGCTAAAATAAACATATCCATTTTGTAGTTGAAAAGTAACTCGTTTTTACACCTTTTTTTTAAGTATATAATATTTATATACGTCAAATGTAACAAATAAACTCACACACCCTCCTCACCTATGGTGAGGTTTGAACCCTTGACCTCCTAGAAGGCCAAGGGCTACGATACCACTAAGCCAAAGGCCCTTTGGTAACTCATTTTTACACTTGAAAGTCAAAGTTTTGACTTGTTTTGGGATTGAGGGAGAACTACATAGGATTATTCTGGTAATGATAAAAATTGACGATGTGGATTTCTGGTTTCTGCAGCCATGTGGAGAGACCAACTTTTGAAGCTACATTCGTCGAAAAATGAACCTGAACCGTAGGATCTTTGAGGTACATTTGCGTTCTCGAATTACACCTTTTTACATGTTTCTATTTATCTTCTTTTTGCTGCCGAAATTGCAACAATTTCCATTTTGCAGTCCCATGAAATTCCAACATTTCATTCTTTGGCAAATTTTCAATTATTTATCTACCATTCAAATGCCAATTTTCATGGATCTAGAGAGTACTTTTCAATCTCTCAGATGTGATGATATATATATATATATGTATGTATATATATGTGTGTGTGTATATATATGTGTATATAGGCGAAAGATCGTGTGAGAACATGAGTTAAGTTAAGAAGTATAAGAAGGGATCTGGATCATTGATTACTTTTCTGCTTTACCTGTAACATGGGTACCGTTTGTCCAATGAGAAGGGATATGTTCTTTTGTTTAAAATTACATGATTTTTAATATTTATATACAGAAAATACTCACACACACTACTTGAACCCACGACCTCCAAAGAGGTTGTGCTTTACCAATAGCCTGGGTACCATCAGGTCAACGACCCTTTGATATGTGATAATATTTCTTGTGTTCTAAAATTACATTATTTACCTACAAATTCCAGAAATATTAATGAAATCCTTCCTTTGGTCTTCTGTACATGGTACAACTTTCGACCGGTTGAAGCTGGAGTTGTGAGGATAAGAGCGGAAGCATTTCACGGTCTGACAGGTGATACATCGTTATGTACAGCTTTAACGTGTGTTTAAAAACATTTCCAGTGTGGAAATCGATGGCATTTTCTTGTACATGATTACCGGGCCCGTAGTGGACGGTAATTACGAAATGAACGATCTCTAATGTTATGTTTCAGAATGTGTTCGTGTAACAACAATTTTCTCTCTCATTATCTGTAAATTAAATTGTGTTGAATGATCGAAATTATTACATTTTTTTTAAACAAAACTAGTCCTTTTTGCGCAAAAACAAAATAAAAATTTGTCATTTTTTTAACAATAGCCAAATGAGCCAAGAATTTCACAAAATCACCTTTTTATCTTTTTAGTCAGATTGTGGGCAGGGTGTTCAAAAACTCGATCAACCTGATCAACCCAATCCAATCCAACGCAAAATAACTCAACCCGAAACAACCTGATGTCTAATCGAATTGTAAAATTTTTAAACCGTAGGTATTAGGTTGATATTGGGTTACTATTATTTGAACTTAACCCAATCCGATGAACTCGATATCATTTTATTTTTTGGATTTAATATGATTGTTGAATTCTATTAATACATACATTAGACAATTACACTATCACGTACACTCTTCATCTACACATCTTTTCAATCTATTCACATCTCTATATAACTCATTCTTATATATGTTCAATAACTATAAACATATATACGTAAATTGAGAAAATTAACTGAATGTGATATACGTAAGAAGTATGGATAAKTTGTATCAAATGGTTGATGATGAAAAAGAAATTATGAGTAGAGAAATAACATATTCAAGGTTAGAAGAATATTTTAATGTACCAATGTATCAACCCGACCAACCCGTATGGTTTAAGTTGGGTTGCACTTTCGTTTGGGTTGGATTGAGTTAAAAAATTTCAAACCGCAAACATTTGGTTGGGTTGTTCAAATGTCTTCAACTCGATTAACTCAATCCATAAGCATTCCTACTTGTGGAGCACAATCTCAAACAAAAAAAACACCTCTTTTATTTTTATCGAGTTGATTTACAGAACAATCGGTTATTTCTTGATAATGTTTAAAAAACAGTTATTTAATGACTTTCTTTTGCAAAAAAAAGGCTAAATAATTATCGATATTCCGCTTTCTGCGACTACCTGGGCCGTTCTGGTTTTCGTCAAAAGATTCTAATTTGTTTGACTTTTAAGAAATAGTTTGAAAAGTAACAGATTTTTTGACTTGAAAAAGTCAAACAGTCACATTTGATTTGAGGTTTAAAAGCTTAGGTGTCGTTTACACAAATGCTTATCTGGTAAGTGTTTATCAGTAGAGGTGAGCATAGGCGGGTACCCGCCCTTTTTGACAGGAACCAGAACCGGAACCGGCGGTTCTTGAGATATTGGAACCGGAACCGGTTAGAGCGGTTCTTAAATTTTTGGAACCGGAACCGGAACCGCCGGGAACCGGTTCCGGTTCCGGGTACCTGCTTCCTAAAATATTAAAATTTTGTTATTTAGAAATAAAAAATAAAACGTTGCCAAAACACTGAATAAATAAGCAATAATACAAATTATATATAATAATGGTTATAAAATTTGTTTAACGATTACAAATCATAATAGACTAATAGAAAATGTTCAAAGTTTAACGATTACATACTATAATGGTAAATGTTCAAAGTTTAACAATTACATACTGGTAAATGTTCAAAGTTTAACGATTACATACTATAATGGTAAATTTTCAAAGTTTAACGAATATATACTATGAATCCAAGTGAACAGACAATTTAAAAAAATACGAATCATTCTATATGAAGAATTTAGATGAAGAATGAAGATGACGGCGTGCTTTCAAGATGTAAACCTAATATAAATTTGGTATTAAAAAATAATAATAATTTTTTATTTAAAAATACCGGGTACCCGGCGGGTAACGGTTCCGAAAAATTGAGAACCGGAACCGGAACCATTCTTAATCGGTTCCGTATTTTAGGAACCGGAACCGGAACCACTCATATCGGTTCCGGTTCCGGAACCGGCGGTTCCAAGGCGGTTCCGCTGCTCACCCCTACTTACCAGCAGGAGTCAACACTGTAATTTATTTTGATGCGTAAGATTTTAGTACATCAAAACATATCGAATGCAACAATTTACTGTTACCTAGGTAAAAGTCGTCATTCTCACTTACCGGGTAAGACTCTTCATCCTTCTCATCGCACTTACCTGGTAAGATTCTTGACCCTTCTCGTGTTCATCGGATGAAGAAATTTATACGTTAAGCACTTACCAAGTAAGTGTTTAGTAAACGGCCCTAATGATTGGTTGACTTCAAAAAGTCAAATGATCCAATGATCTATCATCTTCGATAATTTCTTTTGAGAATTCGAATCAATAATATTATTGAAATATTTAATATATTCAATATGCTAAAAAAACTTATATATAAATTATATTGAAAAATAAAATACATTTAACTTTGTTGGTAAAAACAATAAAACCGGAGAGCTTTTCAAAATTTAGAGATTTTTATACTTCTTTTTTTTTTAGATAAAGTTTTTTGAGACCAATTAAAACATATATTAAAAATTTAAAATCTTAAATTTCATTTAATTTAAGAATATGTTGCAGATGTTTTTAGTTTTACTTAGTGTTTTAAAGAGCTCGTCGTAACATCCGTCCTTTAACGTCGTGTCTCAAGGCTTGTATCTAATGCCACGTTAAAAACATGGCTCACCATGACCCGTTGCACGGTTTTTGTAACGGGATATTTGATTCTTCTTACTTTTTAATGTCTTACTAGTTATTTTTTAATATACAACCTAATTTAAATTGTTTAATATAATTAACTCAATGAGTAATAATAGAAAACATATGTTTTATATATAAGCGAATGATCGTGTGAGAATGAGAGTTACCGTGAAACGTAAGAACATATATGAACCCTTGGTCACTTAAAAAAACCCACCTTGATCACGTGCATATTCTATAATCGTTATAGGTAGCAACTCCTGGTACCGAACAAGTGAATCCAAATCAATTAAGCACGGATCACTATCTAAACATATAGACTTTACCATAACCTTTGACAAACTCCAAGTCACCTAAAGATACCCCGAAAGACCCCAAAAATGACTCGAAGTAAAATCGGAAAATTGCCACCTCAACGACTTACGTTACTAGTGCCACGACCTGAGGTCCCATACTAGGTCGCCCAAGTCACTGGTCCGAGAAGAAAACCCTGTTTCGACTTGCAGTTCCAAAAACACAAAACCATTTTCACAAACCCCATAAATTAAACCATACAAACTCAGATTGAACATGAAGGAAGCTTTTTCGATTCACCAAATCAGTAAAGGTGTAAACCGCAAAGGATTTACCAATTACGATCCAATATAAACTCAAAAGTCTAATGTTCCAGAGAACCAGTGGTTGGCAGAGACATAATTATTGGGATCGATTGGTTGGCAGAGAACCAGGACGAGGTCTTATGTTCCAAGAAGTTGATTCAAGTTCCAGGGTCGGATGGTGAAATAACGTTCATTTACAGGGAGAAGAGGAAGGGAGACGTCACAGTCATTCGATGGTGAAAGCATGCAAGTGATCTCCTGTTTGTTGAGAAAGATGGCGAAAGATGGGTTTGGATTGTGTTTTGATGCAACGGAGCAAAGTGATCTCCAGTTTGTTGAGACAACTCAAGGATCATGAACATAATTACTTTACTCATGATTTAGAGCTGGCGGCAGTAATATTTGTCTTAAAGTTGTAATGATACTATTTCTACGGCACTAAGTGCACCCTCTATACCAATATAAAAAGTTTGAAGTACGTCTTTGATTAGAAGGAATTGAATATGAGGCAACGAAGATGACTAGAACTGCTCAAGAATTATGACTGTGAATTGCTTTATTAACTGAGTAAGGAAATGTGCTAACGGATGTGTTGAGACATAAAGAGTATAACGGTAGCATTTGAGCCACCCTTTCAAGAATTGATCTACTTTCAATTCTACTCGAAAGAATCAAAGAGTCTGCAAGTTGAAGCATTGTTAGAAGATTACCTCGAAAGCGAGGTGATGGTGAAACAACAATCATCGTTTTCAGAAGACGATCGGGGTTTGAAACTCTTTCAGGGGTGCATTTGGGTGCCTAAGATCGGGGGAAACCGAGAGTTGTTGTTAGAAGATGTTCATACATCCACTCCATCCACTCGGGTAGTATAAAAATGCATAAGTACTTAAACTAACTATGTGGAACGATGTGTGACGTGTTTTCGAGATATGTATGTGTATATATATGTTTTCATAATAGTTTATTATTATTTCTATTTAAAAAGGTTTGACGTGTTGTATCAGTTATCTAGTCGTACGGATTTTTATGAAATGCGACTAATATATTTTTGAGACAAGTGATTTTTATAACGATCATGATGAAACTTTGATATTTGAAAACCGACAAAGTTTTATTTATAGGATTGATTTTTTTTTATTAACCTGGATATCCAACCTGCTATTCGAGCCGACTAATTTCAGGGCGACCACTTGCTTTGCAGATAGTCTGGAGTCACCGCATTTGAACCTCTGTGGTCACAAGAGGATTTTTATTTCTCCTTGGATTTGAACCTGTGACCTTCTGGTACTTTTGATCTTTGGAACCAAGCTCAAACCAATCAGACACCCGCACCACCCTTGTGGTTAGGACTGATTTTCGATATTAAATATATCGTTTTTATTAATTTTTGGGTTCAAATGAATTAATAAGTACAATACATATATTTTCGGACTCAAGGATTTAGAAAGATTGCAATGACGCTTTCGATATATATCATAAATTTCCTTTTAATAGTTCGTTTAATCGATGTGAAAACTTAGAAGGCGTAGCGGATTAATGATGGCAAGCAAGTATTCGGGATAGGTGAATATGTGAGAGTGATTTAGGAAACACGAGGGTCATCATGCCTTCTATCATACGTTTACACTCGCATCTTTTTTTCTTGATTAACCTGAATATCCAACCCGCTACGCAAACCGATTAATCCCAGGGGGACCACCTGCTTTGCAGATAGCCCGGAGTCACGGCATTTGAACCTCCGTGGCCACAAGGGGATTCTTATTCCTCATTGGATTTAAACCTGAGACCTCCAGGTACTTTTGACCTTTGGAGTCAAGCTCAAACCAATTAGACAGCACCCTTGTGGTTTACACTCGGATCTTTTGGATTCGTGCAAGTTAGTTGATCATTCAAGACCTAATTAACGTCTTTTCGACTAGATACGTATTGATTGATCCATTTACATGATTTTTTAAAACGAAAAAAAAAAACATGCGTCACTTGGAGCAACCTACGAAAACTAGACCATTCGTTTTAAACTAAAAAACGAAGGGTCAAGAAAGTTTAAAACAACAAAAATCGATGAATTCAAAACTTGCCATACTTGTGCCACAAGACGAGCATTAAAATGCACTTCCGAAGAATGTAAAACCTTGAACGTTTCTCTCTAACCGTGGCCAAACACCCGATACTATCCCTCTTCCTTTTGTGCCTTGTCATGGTCGGTGTTAGTTCCTTCGAAGTTGTCCTCGTTGTCGTTGTCATCCTCGTTACACAATTCCCCATCTCTTGTTCTCTCTTTCTCTCCCACACATACACACACACGTACGTGTAGGTGTGTGTGTGTGTATATATATATATATATACATATATATATATATATATATATATATATATATATGAGATTGTGTGCTGATGTATTCATATGTGAATAGTGTATGTTATCTTATAAATCAATCATATTTTTGGTCGAAAGAATATAAGTTTGTTATAAAAAAATGAACGAGTTTGTTTTATATGGTGGGGTGAGTCAACTCAGTGGGCATCTTAATTCCATGTTTATGCTGTCATTGGTTGGAAACCACTCAATTATCAAATTTGGTGGAAGTTGGTGTTTTCTTTGGATTGTTTATATAACTAAAAGAAGTGTTTTTTTATTAAATGGATTACAATAATGCTATAAACTAATCTTTTAGTATCATAACCACATATAATGTTTAATTAATACCCATTTTTATATATAACTGATTTAAAGTTTGCAGGGTCAATCAAAAAACGTCATATTTAAAAGTGTTACAATGGGTTTATAGTTTTTTAGGATGCTTTTAGTACAAAGTGTTGCATTAGTTATTTTATATGACATTATTTGAAAAAAAATTCTATAAACATATAGTTGTCAGACAAAAAGATGGGTTTATATGATATTTTTCATATTTGTCTTATAAAGTAGCTAATACAACACTTTATTTTTTAAAAAGGTCTTAAAAAACTTGTTAAGTTATCCAAAAATGTCTTATAAATCTATTGTAACACATGATTAGCGAGGGATTGTCCTAAATTTCTTGTTTTCTCATTTTTATGTGTTATATGTACACATTTTTATGTCTAAGTGTCGTATGTATACATGTATATGTGTTATTTGTATATATATATGTTTTGGTTGCTAATTGCAATGTGTATTATATGTACACATGTGTATTTGTTATATGCATATATATCCGTAGACCCGTGTTATATACATATGTTTACATGATGTTGTATGTGTTATATGTATATATACTCATCGGTTTGTGTTATTTACATATGTTTACATGATGTTGTATGTGTTATATGTATATATACCCGTTTGTCCGTGTTATATACATATGTATACACGATGTATATAGATGTGTCCTGGTTTCTAACCACAATTGAATCAGTGTATATATTGTTTAAGATACATATATTGCATGATGTATATATGTTTAAACATATGTGTATATATGAATGTATAGATAGTATGTATGTGTTATTTGGGTTTTATTCTGTTTTATTGAGTTTTGTTCAGTTTTAGTGGACTTTAATCAATTTATCGGGCGTTATTGAGTTTATTGCGCCTTAATGAGCTTTATTCAGCTTTATTGGGCCTTAATCCATTTTATTGGACTTTATTCGATTTTGTTGGTCTTAATTCATTTTATTGGACTTTATTCGGTTTTATTAGGTTTTGTTCGGTTTAATGGGCCATAATATGATCTTAATCCATTTTCTTGGACTTTATTTGCTTTTATTAGGCCTGATGGTCTTTATTCGTTTTTATTGGGTCTAATGAGCTTTATTCGGTTTTATTAATTAATTTTTATAATATTCTAATAAATAATAAATAACTGATAATTTAATAATCAATAATTAAAAATTAAAAATTAATTAAATTTATAGTTATTAATAAAAAATCAGCGACATAACTGTTTTTGGGTCTTTCTGATCAGCGAGGAAAATTGACCGAAATTGTTTTCGGTCAATTCCCTCGCTAATCAGTGAGGGAACAACGAGGGAAGTGGTTTTTGGCATTTTCCCTCGTTGATCAGCGAGGGAACAACAAGGGAAGTGGTTTTTGGCATTTTCCCTTGCTGATCAGCGAGGGAACTGGTTTTTGGCCATTTCCTCGTTGATCCCTCGTTGATCAGCGAGAAATCAGCGAAGGAACTGGTTTTTGGTCTTTCTCTCGCTGATCCATCGCTGATCAGCGAGGGTTTTTTTCCGCCGCTGATACCTTATTTTCTAGTGGTGTTATTTAACTTACGTTTAATTTTCATCTAATTTGCTCTTAACATAAACCACAAGGGTGGTGCCTGATTGGTTTGAGCTTGGTTTCAAAGGTCAAAAGTACTAGGAGGTCACAGGTTCAAATTCAAGGAGGAATAAAAACCCCCCTGTGGCCACAGAGGTTCAAATGCGGTGACTCCGAGTCATCTGCAAAACAGGTGGTCATCCTGGAATTAGTTGACTCGCATAGGGAGTTGGATATCCAGGTTAATAAAAAATATATATATAAATCACATATATACTCTAATTTTACAGTATTTCAAATCCTATGAAATAGTTAAAGTCGTTGATCATGATGTATTTATCGAAAGAAATTCTATCACAAAGTTTTCATAATGTATTTTACCTTTTTTTTAACAATGATCGATGTTTGAAATTAATAATTTCGATTTATTGGTATTTATTTATTCCGTTTAAATGGTATTTTATAAACATTTGATCATACTTAAACAATTTTCTTTATAAAAGATTAAGATAATAACCAACTATGCACAACAACTTCTATTCAAATTTCATAGAATTTTGACTTTTTTTAATGGAAAACCCCATTTGACTTCGTTGATATGATCATGTTCTCACGTTCTCTCCTACATGCTAAATAACTATGCCCAAAATTTATATGCTCACCACATCTTATTGATGGAAAACCCCATTTGCAATCCTTTAAAACCATATGTTTACTGATCATTTCGTTACAAACCATTTACCTCAAATTTATCTTCGCCTCGGGATTTCAAATGGCAAAAACCCGTAAAAGTTGGTTTGGTGTTGTCCGAAGAAAGTTTCTACGGTCATCTCCACGTCCTTCTGAGACCATCGTGGTCCTCCACACCATGAATACTACATTCTCCGACGAACCACCGCCACCGCCACCGCCACCTCCATCAACCACCACTGTAACTGAAGATCATGTTTGTGACACCCCACGGTCAATCAAAGAGATTGTTGCAGCCACAAAAATCCAAGCTTGCTTTCGGTGTCACCTTGTATGTTGTATATATTTACATACGTGTTATGGTTTCTTTGATCTGTCAGACTTTAACCAATTCTGTTCAATATATGTTGGAATCTTTTTTTTTTTTTCTTCAAAGTCTCTTTTGAACAATAATCTAACGGAGTTTCACATGCGCAAATCTATGAAGGGGAGTTAATAAATTTTCAAATTTTCAAATTTTAATCATTTTTATATTATTATTTTATTTTATTTTATACATGTATATTTTTTACCCCCAAAATTTTATTATCTTGAATTGTGACCCCATTACCAATATCCCTAGATCTACTGCTGCATGATTGATTTTTTTTAATTGACCTGGATATCCAACTCGTTAAGCGAACTGACTAATCTCAGGACAACTACATGTTTTGCAGATAGTCTGAAGTCATCGTATTTGAACCTCCGTGGCCACAAGGGGATTTTTATTCCTCCTTGGATTTGAACCTGAGACCTCCTTGTACTTTTAACCTTTGGAGTCAAGCTCAAACCAATCAGACACCACTCTTGTGGTTGCATGATTGATTATTCAACCTTCTCAAAATGAGTTCTGTTATTTAATTTTTTTTTTTTTTTTGTGATTTATGATTTACGGAGAGCTTGTGATGATTCGTGTAGGCACGAAGAGCACGTAAGGCACTGAAGAGTCTTGTGAAGCTACAAGCATTGGTACGAGGAGCGTATGTGAGGAAGCAATCTCGTATAGCTTTAGAATGCATGCACACACTTGCACGACTTCAGGTCGTGACTCGAGCTCGCCAGCTTCAGCTCCTCACTTCTAACTAATTGAAGCTAATTGCATTCTACTCGTTTGATTGTTCACATTGATATCGCATATGGCTTTAAGTTATCAGTGTTGTTACAGCCGATATTGAATGATAAAAATAACCCACTTCTTGCCATTAATTGAAGTCGTGACGAAAGTAAAACTATATACCTTCTGATTCAAGTATTCATTCTCTAATTAATCCCAAACAAAATACACGAACATTCTGTTAAAGACCTCTAAAGAACTCAGAGTTCTTGCATGGGACCCAGTTATTAGAAATGGCCTCATCCCCGTTCTATATACGAATGACATACCATCAGAGTATCAGTAACAGCAATCTAAGTAAATAACAACATTTTTACAATTCATGATATCGGACTGTCATGGACCGAACTAATTTCTCTTCGGACCTTTCTCATCTCATATCCCTACTGAAACACGATACTTGATTTTCCGCTTTGATTTCAACCGACATATTGTTTTGTGCTCCATCATGCCCTTGGTTTTTACCGTCCGATCCATAATCGTATTGTCACTTGAACAACCAGTACAACAAGACTACGTTTACAAGACACTAAGTATCTAATTGTCTTGATAGACACTTTATAGGGTTTAAGTTTAAAGGAACAAACAATAAAACGTCAAATAAGTCTAAATGGTACTTTTGGACATCTTAATACGTCTTTAGTGAACTCATGAAATAATTCATCCTAATAAATGTTCTAAAAAAGATGTGTCTATAGTATATTTTTACGAACTGTCTTATAAAATAGCTAATACAACACTTTATTTTAAAAAATCTTGTTAAAACATCTAAAATTCTAGCTATAAAGGCATCATGATGTGATTAGATAGAACATTTTATTGTTTAGTCTAATAAACGTAAGTTTATAAAGCCATCTATTCGGTCACTTTTAACATTTTTAATGTTTTATAAACCCCGTTTTATTACGGTGAACAATTCAAACATCAAACTTACAATCAAATAAAATTTTAAAATTAGGTACTCAAATTATATATATATATATATATATATGGGTTCACATGAGACCAGCTTGTTTTCGTGAGATCCGTGAGACCACATTTTTACACGTAACCTTCACAGCAAAAACACCGTGAGACCACATTTTTACACGTAACCTTCACAGCAAAAACACTGTGAAGGTTTTAAAAAGTTACCTTCACAGCATTTTGCTGTGAAGTTTCAAGTGTAAAATGTTGATCTCACGGGTCTCACGAAAACAGGCTGGTCTCACATGATCCCAAGTCTCTCTCTCCCTCTCTCTCTCTCTCTCTCTCTCTATATATATATATATATATATATATATAGACTTGGGATCATGTGAGACCAAGGGTTTTTCGTGAGACCCGCAAGACCAATTCTCAATCCTTGGATTAGATCTACAATCTGAACATTTATAATCACAAAATTTCCACAAGACTTCTCAATAATCACAAAATTGCCACCCTGCAATTTTAAACCATTAGATCATTAACTTATAAAGTTGATCAATGAACATAAATTGGTCTTACGGGTCTCAAGAAAAACTCTTGATCTCACGTGAACCCATTTAACTCTTGATCTCAAGAAAAACTCTTGAAAACCCCTTTTAACTACATTCTCTTAAAAAGTCTTCTCAAATACATTTAAATCTGTATTTTCTCGTCACATATTATTTACAAAGAAATTTAGAAAAAAAACTACAAGATTTATTCAATTTAATTTCTTCAAGAAGACCGTTTTTATAGATACATACATATATATATATATATATATATATATATATATATATATATATACTAGTTGTGTACCCGTGCAATACGGCGGGAGCCATTAATTTTAACGATTTTGAAGTTTCACTGGTTTTATTAGAGAAGATTTAATGATGATATAAGTTACACTTGGTTCCAATTGCAGTCTATCGATGAAAAAAATTGTATGACAATTTAAAATCCAACATATTTAAACGACTCCACAAACGTGTTCGATTTACACCAAGACCAAAGAATCAAGAGATCGAGAGCGAGACCAATAGAGTTCTAGAGCAATTGAATGGAAAATAAACGAGATAACTTTAAATAACTAATGATGAATATCAATTTGAATCTCACATTGGGAGATGAGGAGAAGACATAGAAGTATGAGAAGGTGAAGACATGAGTGAAAGGTGTCAAAAGTATCTTGAAAACATGAAAAGAAAAAGGTAATAATGTGCATTAATAACTTGTACTATATGCTATTTTAATTATAGATTAAGAGATTTTAAGACGGAATGCATAAAGTAGTAGTACTTAATGAGTTGTTTTTAAGATTTTAAAAACTTTGTACATAAATGTACAGTCCTTTGTGCATTAAAATTTATTTTTAAGACTTTTGATAAATATGGTTTATAAGATAGTATATATAGGGTATATTTCTTTTACAACCTTGTGTATTTGTACAACTTTTGCAACCCAATTAATTGAGATATTTATAGAAATGATGGGAGTTCATTTATTATGATTTGAGTATTTTATAGAATATGAATAGAGTTCATTAATTATGATTAATATTTTATATTAGGAAACAATCAAAACTTCTATGAAATCACATATTCATCAAATTAAATGGACGGTTGAGATTGGGTTGTACAAATGTAAAGGATTGTATAATAACCCACCTATATATATATATATATATATATATATATTGATTTAATTTTATAGCCAAAATAAACCTTTTTAAACGATAAACAAATTCACATACCCATGTTTCTTTTAAAAACCTGCAAACTCACAACCTAAAAGTTGTGAAATCATCGTTTCCGTAGCCATAGATACATATACATATATACATATATATATATATATATATGTATGTATGTGTGTGTGTTTTCAAGCAGTTAATTAGCATTTCTTACAGAATATTGACCCTGTAGCAGGAAACCCTAATCAACAAAAAAAAAAAAAAGGAAAATGCATTAACCACTTGTACAATACAACCAAATGTGCATGAAAATTAAACAACAACTATTTACAACACATACCCAAAAAGTGGGATCAAATCTTGGATCAATCGTTTTTAGCAACTTTTCGAAAATGAAATCGAACTAAGATATTGGCACGGCTCAATCAGATCGTCCAAAACTAAGTAACAGTAAGTTTTGGACATAGACATCTGAGTGAACCAGGCCAATATCATAGCTACAGTTTCATGATGGTAGCTAAGAGAAAAATGGAGATGGGAGATGAGTAAGGAGGGTGAGAATGTCGTAGGTATTTAATAAGAAGAGATTGGAGCATTAATGACCCCCCGGCTACCCAGTTACAAATAAAGCCCCACTGCATTTAATTTTCCATTCCTTAATTTCTCTTCATCCATATATATATATAATCACTATGTCTATTCTTCCATACGTTTCGTTAATTTGGTGTAAACCCTAAATGTATGTAGTGTTTGATCCTAACCACTCTCGATCTAGCGTTTACGGGTTTACGACCCGTTTGTTGCTTCGATCTCTTGAAGTATCGTATCTCGTTTGGTTTATGACATGTAACAAAACTAATTAGCGTTGTCGAGTTGTTTTTAGAGACGTGTTTATCATCTGGTAGTTGGGTCATAAACTCTTCGAGACGAGGGGCGAGATTGATAACTTGGAGGTTGAAATTTTTTGGTTAACGGTGTTGAAATTTAGAAAGAATATATTTGACTCCAACGTATTTTCTATTTTCGAGATTTTAACTTTCATTATATTATTTAAATACTTTATAAATACACTTTTTTTTAAAAATAATTTATAGAAAAAACTAATAATTCAAATACATTTTTTTAAAATAATTTATTGAAAATAATAATAATTTAATGTTGTTGGTAAGAATGAAACAAACAAATCAATTTACCTTTCCACAAGTCAAGTTTTAGATAATTCTTTAAACTTGGATCTTTCTTTAATTTTTTTATATTTTAGGGGGTGTTTGAGATTGTTTATTTGAAACAACTTATATTTTTCTATAAAAGTCCTAATCAACTTATTATAAGTTAGAATGATTTAACTTCTTCAAAAATCACTTATTACCGGTTTGGCACCGATATAAGGGGTTGTTTACCAAATCTTTTATTAAGTCATGTATGGATAAATTTGTCTGTCCGGATAAATGAGTTTTGTTGTTTATTTTTTTTTTATCTGAACCAACAGTCTGAATAACATAAGTGACCGATTTACCCCCAATATATTTGAACATCAAAACAAAAAATCATAAAGAGGCCGAAGATGGGGTGTCTCATATGGGAAGGAGGCGATGCTTTAAATAAGGGGTATGAGTGTCATTTTTGTGTTTGAATGAGAACAACACACCATTTCTATCTGTGTGATTAAGCCATGTTTAGTGCGAACAAGCCGTAAATAAACAACCAAAATGAACTGTGCGAATAAGCCAGAAAGACCAATAAGCCTAATTAAGCCGCAAGTAAACAGCCCCTAAGTTGTTTATCCAAACACTCAAAAGTGCTTATTACCGGTGTCACACTGGAATAAGTCAATAAGTTGTTTTTATAAGCAATCCCAAACACCCCCTTAGATGATAATATAAAGAATCAGTTTAAGCAAAAAACAGAGAACAAAAACTTCATTGTCTCTATATTTGTTAATCTAATAGCCTCTCAAAAAAAATTCTCTATTATGAGAATATATATTAGAGATGTTTTTATAAACTAACATGGGTGAGATGAATTAATAGGTAGGGACCCATTTGAGATAATTCAGTAGATTGCAAGTAGACGGGGTTCATTTTGAATCGTTCTTACCAAAACTATACAGAAAGTTTCGTCTTACATCTCGAGTTGGGATGTGAATTATCATCTTTAATCCAAAACGGGTTTTATAAATCACACTCGTGTTTGTGCAACCCGTTCTTTTCACGGGTGATTCTAAATGCACACTTTCCTATTAATATCGAAACTCTTTTTTTCTTTTTTCGCATTTCTGATGTATGATGTGAAGTAGAAAGGTGTGCATGTAACAACACGCTCCGTCTAACG